GTCGTAAATGAGACTTTCGTTATTCCCTCCCCCCCCCCCGCTGAGCCGGACCGGGCGATGCTCTTGCAAACGCATAAGTACTCACAATAATTCCCTGCCACCATGTTGCCGGCTGCCGCGCATCCATCTTTAAACAACTTTAGTAGCACGGCGCAGGCTGGCGCACGGTGCACTTTTTTACCGGCATATTACGGCGCACGGCGCAAATTGATGCATTGATAATAAAAATTCCCGTGCACCTGGCACATCTTCCTGACCATGGCCTGTATAATTTTCTGACCCTGGGCAAATCCATAAAACCGCGGTTCTAAAAAATCAGTTGCGGCTTGCCAAGTAGGAGATATATTCCATGCAAGTGCGACCAATCCGACCATGCCTGCCATCAAACATGTATCAATAAAATTGACAATTGTCTCTTAGACTCCTGCAAGAAATATTTATGTCATCCTAGAAAATAGAATAAACTTCAATAGATCATATACCTACATAGGATGGTATCATGGTAAAACAGTAGGTAGATGGAATTATGGAAAAAAAATTAGCTATGCCTGTATACCACTACCAGTATTATACCAAACATGAAGATAAATCATTCAGACTTGAAAATTAGAAACTTATTTACAACAAAAAACCAGTAACTACACAGTACACAATAAATTACTATGATGGACATTGGACAAAAGATTTCAAATCAAAATGGGATCATTCCTTAGAAATCGGCCATTGTGATGAAAAAATTTCTGTCGTCTCACTTTCGTCACCCTCAGTTTCAGGGAGCTATCTGGCAACCGTTGATAAAATTCCATGCAACGTCCAATTGTAAAACTAAAGTAGCATAAATTCATCAGATTCTACAACGTGATGTACCACCTGCGACATGGGCTTCTATAACCCTTTATCTGACCAAAGGCGCACATCCACACACCATCGCAACTTTATATCAACTGAGCTCACCGAGCATTTAGGGCTCGATCTGTGTCCTCTACGAGTATTTAACATGCAAAATAATTTTATCTTGGGTTTCAGAAGGAAAAACTAATGTATATACGAATTTTATTCGTATAGCAAATTTCAAAGACTTTAATGAGGTTAAAAATATTATTCATTCACTTTGATGAGTTACTATTCGTATACCTTGATACGAAAAGAATGTCAATGTTAAAACTAATCACTGCTCTAAATTATTTTACAAAAAGTACAATGCATTTGTGTATACTTTTCCTGTTGAAATGCTCTTTCACCTAATATTTCCTATACGGATAGGAACATTCCATAAAATATTTTTTAGAGCTTCGTAAAACGTGCTTATATAACTCTGGAAACGGTCGATAATTGACCCAATCCATTACAATTCTTAAATAGAAGCCACACATAGATAGAAAAAATCTACATATTATAATTTTTAGCAGATAAGAATACATATAGCTTCAGTTTCAGAATTCATTTACAATTCTTCGTATGCATTAAATGAGTTGGCGCGTCTCTCGTCAAATGAACTGGACGCGGTCTCATGCTCAAAAAACACGTGGCTCCAGCACAAGAAGACTATGCAGCCTACACCGATAGTTTAGCCATGAAAGAATATCCTTTATGGTTATCCAATATTTTAAATCCATTGCATAGAAAATGTCATCTATAAAGCATAGTTTATTACTCCGACACAAGATAATGTCTCAACGGAAGCTCATGGCTTTTGCCAGGAGGTAATAACGTTTCAATGAATGAAACTTGAGAAATTACTCATCACTGAAGTGGGAAAACAGTACTAGAGTGTGAACAAAGGCTCACAATTTTCAACAAGTTTCTATTGTACAACATTTATTGAAGTTGTGATTTATATAAGAGAAGATGAAAATATCAATTATTTTGGGACGATCAGGAAATAACACAACATATTTAATTTGTTATTGTTTATTTGAAGCATTAGTATAATCATTTGAAATACAAAATATACTATCAATGTAAACGCTTTCAGCATTCTCACAACGGCTGATTTCAAAGCTATGAAATAGATACTGTTCTCAATTAGTTTGTATTACTACCTTATGTACAGAGTACAAGAACATACTCAAAGTATGGTAGCGATGGAGACCATATTTCTAAGACAAGAAGCACTAGTAAACTATATTAAAATAGAGAACACCAAAACGTGGAAAAAAGTTTATTAGGATAAGAAACAAAACGTTAAAAAGATCGAGAAGAGAAGCAAGAGAAAAAATGAGAAAATGTAGCACAGTTTTAGAGAGTAGCGGGGGACAAGATGAGAAGGCTCCAGAACTTAGTGGAGGACACAGCGAGCTGCGTTCTTTGTTCACCTCTAGAACGACAAGCACAGAAGCGATCTCTCGTCTCCCGGGTTATCTCTAACCTGAGTGTTCATCTTATCACAACGTTTAAAATAAACAGCAAAGTTAATCAAACCTCCAAAGCTATTCAGAGAATTTTACAGAGAAGTGTACAGAAAAATAGAAGACATGTAGAACAAAGTTTCTTAGTTCTTAAAGCTTAGTTGTTTTTAGACGAGTAAATAAAGTGTGCATTAGCGCCTCTGGTAATTTGAAGTTAAATACGATTCTATTCGAGCTGTAAACAGCAATTGATTTCTATTTCAAACGAAGCGTAATTTATAAGGAATTATGAACTAAAAAAGCACCATCATTAGAAAAGATGTACAAATTCACGCATTACAAATTTAAAGGCCAAGCAGTGATTTTGATTGAGTACGTCGAATCTGTTGACATCGAATTGTTTTCAACAATAAAAAATCACAGGGAAATTCGATTAAAATACAACTGACGAGGATATAGTCATCACAATCATTGCGTAACAGTTCCGACTAACGACGCTTGTACAGAGCGTCACCGGTGGAGAATTGTCTCGTAAATATTAGATAGGGTAGAAATTGTCTCATAAATATTAGATAAGGTAGAAATGCTTCGCAAGTTACAGCTCACGAGGACCATATGGGATCCCCGACTCAGAAATATCAAGAAAAATTGTCAACCTAAAATAAAAGATCACTCGAGATACAACGGATCATGACATCACAACAGCGAATGTCACGTTTAGTGAAGTATTCGCAGCAGCAGCATCAGCAGTAGCACGATTTGGTGAGCGAGGCTACACTTTTGAACGGAATGCTTATGAACTGAATCACTTCGCCTTAAATTGTACACGCTATCATAAAAAATTAACCTCTCTCAACGCTATAATGATCACCATTCTTTATCACAAAACGTGGAACGAAAATCAGTAAAGCAAGTACGAGATGACATTCCATGTGACGAAATATTTTTGATAATAAGAAACCTAAACAACAAAGGCTTGAATGCTGGAGCATGGGCGTTAGATTAATAAAAATTACAACAAGCGGTATCAGCATAAATAACCCAGCAGATAAATAGAGTGCTCTTCTTATTAATTGTATTAGGAAATTTGATTGCAGAACACGAATATACATTATATTTCTCAATGGAACACGAGAAATCTCTGAACGTTATCTAGTCACAAAGACATGGAATTGCACGGAAAATAATAGTTTTGATGACAAAGTCTTTGGTGATGAACTTGGGTTGAGTTTGGTATCATATGAACAAACTCCTACGGCCAACCAACTCCAAAGAACTTCGAGAGTGAGAATCACGAAAGTTTGAGGGAAGGATGAGTAGCTCGCTGCCCATCTCCACCCTCTGGACCAATTATTGTTTACTTCAAATTTTTCTTCTGGCTGAAGCGACTCCCGTTTTTCGGTCCGGCCCGGTGGGTGTTCCGCCGGTGGCTGGACCGCCCGTGCTGCTTCCTGACGGCGTTCTAGTTCTGCACGCGTGATGATAAACAGTGATATTGGGCGATATATTGTTATGATAAATTATTTTTATATTACTGAAATAAAAGAATAACTCACGGTACTGGAGCTAAGAAAAACCTGGCTCAGGAATGTAACGTAACCCATAGGTACAAAAAAAAGAAAGTTTTTCCATCAAAGGAAGAAAATCCATGTAAACGGAAAGTTGTACTGGTTGAATATTGACGTTGATTTAAAAATTGACGTTTATCTGAAAATCAAAACGATGTGCAATAGACTTCAAAATCAGAGTGTGAGCAAGCTAAAAATTATAAAAACTTAAGCACCACAAAACCCAACTCTTTAACAAAAACATTTGTGTGTACCGAAAGAGGCACTGTCACTATTCTGCGAAAAATGTAACCACATTCTTAAATAGCATCAAAATTTGTATAGAAGTGCAGAAACTCATAAAAACGATTGAATTTTAAGGTGTTTAATTAGAACAAACGAGAAGCACACGCAGTACATAAGTCAGCAAAGGCTGATTTCATTGATATAAATTAGCAGACGAACAACGGAATTAACACAAATCTCGTACCATGGCAGGTGCTGACGAGGTCGTCATTACGACCCGACCTATTGGAACTGGCTGAAGGACATCTTTGCTTACTTTTAATTAATGCACGCCGTTACTATCCGTCGAAAAAGTCAAAGCAAATTCTCGGAATTCCCTCGATGGTTTCACTTTTTTATGTTAGTAAAATATACAGTATGCCTGAAACGATCTAGATACTTTAAAGACCAGCAACGGCAAAAATATCATGCGTTTCTTATAGCTTCTTGAGAGTCCCGAGACATGCAATTAATTTTACTAAAATTAAAAGTGCATATAAGTCACCTGCTGCTGATCGAGGTTCTTGTTGATGGACTAGGGGCCGATAATTTTGGCCTGTGTTAGAGGGCGAGAGCAAGCAGATTAGTACGGTAAGTAACACCACATGGCGTCTACGAATCCATCGTAACGTACGGTATTTGTTACATAAATTTTGTCTAAACGTTGACGAAAAATTACAATACCCACATAATAAATTATTTCCACGTTAATGAGGTTAGCAGATTAATCAGGATTAATAATTTCTCCAAAAACTCTAATGAGAAGACGTGTCAAAGACTAAATTTACGCAAATTGTGACTTGGTAAATATGAGCCCACCACAATTAAATCGGATGGAAAAAATTGCCGGATCTCGTGAGGGACCTATGATGACTCACCTTATATATATATAGTGCTTGATTGTAGACCTATTAAAATTCATGTCTATCTACATGAGTTAACTATTTGGATCGGGAAAGCACTAACAATGTTCCGAATCGAAAATTGATTCTAAAACAAATAGAATCGAAAGTTTGTACACATTCCCTATAAGCAAAAGCAAGAATATAATCTATAAAATTTGGGTTAGACGATATATGCTCATCACCGTCTAAGAAGTAACAACGTAAGCAAAAAGAGAAGATCAAAGGCGACAATGAGTTTCAAATTTGTAAAAGCAGTCACATCAAAGCAGTTCTTTCGAATTAATTTTTTTGCACTCCAAGTAACTGAAAAGAGCCGATTAACGAAACAAAATATAATCCGGTATTGCGTCTTTAAAGCACTCAAAGCAACAGCAGCGCTAGTCTTATTCCAAAATTAACAAAAAGCGACTGAAAAAAGCGAAAACCATTCGAATTCGACTTGGAAAAAGTTTATGTTATAGTTTACCTTAAAGTTGGTATCTTGGTTGCAGACGACGGGTTAGAGGCTAGACTAGTGGTGGAAGATGTTCGTGATCTGCAGAGTTAGTTCATCAAAGAGTTAGCATCTTCGAGTCCCTCCCAATGATTACATATTTGTATATAATAGCCAAATAATGAACATTAATTGCCGTGATATTGACCTACGGAACGTTTTAGGGAACGATTGAAATGAGCGCGACGCTCGGAAGAAACTTATTACGTACTATTAAAAGAGATTAATTTGGTATTAATTCTTATGAGAGACGTGCCATGCATGCACAGGGGTACCAATATTATCGATTAATGCAACGCATAATTGAAAAATCAACGATCACTTGGATTTTACGGTAAATATCACTGTCAGTATCAGACTTGAAGCAATCTCGAGTGGTGACACACAAGCGACAAATGTTGGTACACGTTACGCCGGATGTTACAGGCGAAAAAATATACGGAAGAGCTGCTATATCGGTTTAACATCGTAGAAGAATTGGATCAATGTAAATCACAATAATGCGATCACAATCATAAACGGCGCAGGGTGATGGTCATTCATAACTTGATATAAATAAAATTTTAAAAAGCTAACGTTTCTCTGCGAGTCTAAATTTAAATTCTTTATTGCTTGCCCCCCCCCAGATCAGTTCAGTAGTGTTTTGTCAGAGCAACACGGCTCGTCTAAAACATCGAACATCCGAAATAGGGTAAAATATCGATTGCAAGAAATGATTCGCATGGAATCCAAACTACCAAAATGGTTTCAGGTGCCTGAAAGGACGTGAACTTTTCAAACACTCATAAAAAGCTATGATGAGAGGTCAGTTAGTTTACGTAGTGGCAATGGTTGAATAGTTAATTTCTGAAGATGATACTAAATAAAACATTTAAAATCCTGAAATTAGAACTGCCAAGTGTCCTTACAACCACTGGATATTTGAGTCATCAACGAGTGAATAATGAAATATAGTTAAAACTACTGGCCACTAAGAGAAGTTACGTGTTCCTGTCACTATTGAAATGAGTTACCTATTAGAAAGGGAAGTTAGTAACATAATTTTAGCTAGTTAAGTTAGTTACCTGAGAGGCGTTCCAGGAACAGACAAGTTAGTGGCTGAGCCGGACAGGTTACTTCTGCGATAACAAAAGTAATGGTTAGTGGCTCGTGTATGTGAACAAATTCCCGTCAAAGTGGCCAGCGGGTTAAGTGCTCCAATACCATTTTAATGATCGCTGACAAAACTTAAGTATAAAATAGAAGTAATTTGCTAAATTTTATGATGTATTCAGTTCGGTGGTTAAAAATTTTCTTATTTCCTTGAAGGAGTAGAAAACAAAGTTAAAATACCATGACAAAATTTAGAAATTTAACAAATTTTTATGGTAGGGCAATCACCATAAAATAATGTGTCTGAGGTTTGATTAAAAAGCAAAACTTTGTTTAATGCATCGCTCCTTATTCCTAAGAAGTCATAAGAAAGTAATGCAAATAATTAAATTACAATTGCATAATGAAAGTTTTACCGATACACAAAGTTTGTCTAAACATTATATTCCAGTTGAACATCATTCGCACCATTTTACTGACAGCCGTAATTATAAATAGCATTTAAGAAACAGGTGCACCGTGAGTAATTCATGCGATGAAAACACACGTGTTAGATACCCTACCACAGCAGGTTTACAGCTTCAACGTGTCGTGTGCTTACAATAACTCTGCCCATTTTTAGTACTTCACGTCACATCTTAATATTCATTTAGATACTCGTACGAAAAGTTCCCAAAATCTACTCAATACGGAACTAAAGAAGATCGCGTAAATGCATTTTATACATAGCAGGTGAATATGAAAATACCAACACAAACTACTGTACTTGCTTTATTTATGAACGCGTCTTTACACCCAGAAGGTTGTTTCCGAGAAGCAAACGTTAGCAAGGATTTATTTAGATCAATAAAAAAAGTTTTCGACAGGATAAGCAACCGAAGAAAGATTTGAAAGAACGGAAATGTTCTGTTAATTAAGGAACATAATTCTGCGATTCAGCAGTCATTAATTTACAAGTCATGAGGGAAGGTAGAAAAAATCGCCGACTGTAAGCATATCAAGCGGTCTGTTAAAACCACAGCTGATGGCTCAGGTATGTCAGCTGTAGACATTAATATTGTAAATGAAGGGTCCCTAACTGGCTGCCATGCAGCGCAGCACCGAGCGTGTATGGGTGTAAATAATACAAGGAAGGAGGAAGACCTTATAGACCGACATCTAGCAGTCATGTTCATGTGAGGGTGGGTATATAGTGTAGTAATGCGAACATGGCTATATTTCAACTTGTAATACAGGAGAGAAGGAAGACATAGCTCGATAGGTCGACATTTCCGCTCATGAGTGGGTGAAGCTGATAGTTATAATTTAAAAGCACTTGGAGGAATGGCACCAAATACGGGGGATGTGAACAGCGTTATTACCTATCGCCGTCAGGCTGAGAAGTCATCACGGGAATGCGTGTCCTGTTGCCACGAGCGCAGCGTAAGAGAGAAGAGCGCATGGGGAAACAAAGGCAACAAGAATAAGAAAATTTACAAAATTTTAGGAGAGAGGGAAAATTAGATTTAAAAACAGTCGGAGAAATTTTATTTATACCCACGGGAGTTGAAGATTTACACAGGATTTACAGTTTTTACAAGCTCCACAAATGTACAATGCATAATAAGTTATGCTTTTATTTAGTCTTCAAATGATTTCAGAAAGTGTTGTGCAAAAATGGATAGGATGATATGCTTTGAAATTTTATTTTAAAGAAGAATTAAATAGATTAGAGCATAAGATTGTAGCAAATTTAGCACACCAATAAATTAAGTTTCATAAAATGAACGGGGATACAAATCCGAAAGTGTTGGGATTTTGTTCCATTTTATTGTACTGGGTATATTCTAGCATAAAAATTGTGCAACTGTCAAGTGATATTCCTCATTTAGTTATTATTATTGGATCGAGGGTTATTACATACACGTGAAAACAAGTTCAAATGTAAAATGCGTTAACTTTCGGGCCAAATTTCGCACGGAGCACAAGCTTTCTTTTTTGTTGATATAAGCTTTATTGAAGAAAGAAGCTCATAGTGGGGATGAACAAAACAGAAATGACGAGTGACCGGGAAATATTAGGGACTATAGGTACAAGTGATGAAAACTGGAGGAAAGGATCAACAGGAAAGCTGGTCGTAAGAGCTATGGACATACAACTAATTATTAGATATATGGACAGCTAAGAAAATAAAAGATATGGATGAGGTTGTCTATAATAACATTCATCGGACAAATTTATTCGAAATGAAACATCGAGTTCTGGTGAGTAGGTGAATGAGGAAGGCGAAAAAGTATGGTTATTTTGTTTCTTTAACGTTTCGTTTCAACATTAGGCCAATGAAATTTTTAGCATGTTTGACGTTGAATTTCAGATGAAAAAAAATAAATGAAATTTCGCAAAAATTTGATACTTTAGTAAAGTGACAAGTCCAGCCAAGTTTCGAAATAATATGCGTAGCAACATTCACGACAAAATATATGATTACCAATGACAAGCTGCATATGATATTATGGAGAGGCAGCCTTTAAATTTATTTGAGCCAAACAAAATTGATGCTGATGATGAAAATAGTCGAGAATTATAGAATGACGGAAATAAAGATGTAAAACTTGAAGTAGGAGCAAACCACAAGCAACCGATACAAAAAATTTACATTCTTACATTTAGCGGCGCTACAAAATTCGCCTTCATAAGCAGGACGCGCATTAAAAACGGAGTCAGACTAATGCAGACGAGCGATAATTTGACAAAAAGGAACAAAACTGAAGTGAAATATTGAAAGAACGCACACATAAACACGAAGGTAAGGAATTTTATGAAGGGTAAATGTGAGAATCCGCACAGATGTACAACGCAGGTATGACGCACACGAACACGGACAAACAAAGAATACAACGCGGACAACTGCCTTTACCTAACGCCTTTGTCTTTCAATTGACTGGAAAGCGTGGGCGAGAAATACCTGGAAGATAAAAATTTTGGTATAGTGAGATACAAAATAGACATTTAAATGAAATGTCATATTTTTTAAAATAGTTTTATGGCGCAAAGAGAGCGCGTCGCACGGCCCAGCGTCCACAGGCTTAAAACCTAAAGACTTGAAGAAAAGTGGTCTGTTCCAGCCCCAGACGGTATAGCAAACAACGAATGTACATTCGCGTGAAGAAGAAAATTTTGAAAGCTATAGGGGAACCTGAGTACGAGCGTAGGAGGAAAATTCTTGGCAGTCCGGGTTTCAAAAGAACTATGAAATGTGAAACAATCCTCATACAGAAATCCGAAGGATGAATTTTTTTATAAGTTGAATGACATTGTACGCATAATTTTTCACCAATTTTTTTTTTTTGTGATAAAGGCAAAACGCCTGAAACGGACCGTCAGAGCATAATTGGATTTAGAAAATTGAAAATGAGAGCAGAACTTCTTAGCTATCAAACCCTAGGAGCTGAATATATTTCAGCATATGAGAAATTAGTATTCCCGATACTGACGCAGAGGATCGAACACAATAGAAGAATCACCCAGACGTAAAATAAGGCAATACTCAAACCAGGGAGTTGTGAAAATCCTGCTAATTTAGATGCTCACTTCCAAAGAGCTTGCGAGCTATGGTTAATGTACAAATGCTTTAGTGGCTTCGGTGCTCGACATGGCACTTCATCGACCTTTGCATTCCACAAGAAAACAAGAGTACAAATCTTCACAATCTTTTGATTTTATTGATAGATGGAAAATTTATCTTCACAAATCTTTACGGAAGTGTCAACAACAAAAATTTTTACACCCATCAGTTCATGTAAGTTTATTGTACAACTGTGGTAGAGTTTTTATCTTAAAAATATCTTAGCAAATTTTAGCAGATGTTTACTATCAGATGTTTACTGTCACCCACAAGAAGAAATCCCAAAATACTCGAAGATTGTGCCTTGAAGAAGTGGAACGGACGGCAGCGTGGTTTACAGAAGATGTATTGCATAGCAAAGACTATTACCTAACTTTGTGATTAACAACCAACGAGCTACGAAGCATCGAAATTCTTCGATTAGTGCGCATATACAGAGCGTTGCTACATACAGAAGGCTAACTCTTAAAGAAGATTTCAAGAATAACTGCTATGGTAAGGTGCATGGCAGTGAAAAATTGCGAAAAAGAAGTGCCTCCCAAGCGCCCAAATTTATTGAGAACTCGTAACGTTTTTCGAGGGGATATGTCTTCGATACCTCTGCTTTGCGAACACTGGTTTGGGGATGCCTGAAGAGGATGGAATTCTGGACATGCTGCACGATCTATGCGATAAAGTTGGCATCAAACTATTGGGAGAGGGAGAGATCATAGATCAATTTAAGAAAGATAAGGATCTCCAACGATAATACGAACGGTTACTTTTACTGGCCACGACATACTCCCTTCAAATGTGAGTAGGGTGCAGTCGTAAAGTTTCGTGCCGATTTATTTCTAGCAAATAAGACCACCTGTCATCGGATGTCTACTAAATAATGAACTGAATTAGTCACCAAAAAGTTAAGGTTAATTAGTGTAGTTGGCCTAAGCCTAACGAGGAAGAGTTTCATCAGATAACAACTGAAAAAAGGCTCGTTTTATTTTCGCGTACGATGTAGCAGTATTAGTGGTATGGCAGTCAACAGCTTCTTCAACTTTGCGATATAGTAGATAACAATTTGAACTCAAAGGATAAAATTTGACAGATACTATTATCTTGAACCTTTTTTTGAATGTACTTTATCGACTGAGAAAGCCAAGATTCAGTCAAATCTAGTTTGTCTTCAAATTACCTAAGAATAAATTTGCACAAGAGAACTTGTTAATACGACAAACGTTACATTAGTATTGATGAATAACACAAATTTCGTGCATTGTTACCAAGTACAGATATATTTCCGCACCACGGATGATCAAGCTCCCAAACTCATACATGATCAAAATATAAATAATGAGATAACTTAACAAATAATGCAGCTTGCGAGAGCTCACTTCTTCCAGTCAAGTTGGAATTCGAGCCTCGCGTGGGAACTTACCGCGCATTTGAGGTCGGTACTCGTAGGTTCGACCCATTGACCGAAGTGCCCGTGGGTGTGGTGGATCCCTGTAGGAGATTAGCGAGTTATGGTTAATGTACACATGCTTTAGTGGCTTCGGTGCTCCACATGGAGGATTATTAAACGAAGAATTTTTAGCAGCGACTATCTCAAGGAAGAAGGCCGAATGAAAAATGTGACAAGAAAGTGTGACAAGTTGCATAAAGTGATTTATGCATAGCAATCTCATTGTCGCATTGACAGCTTCTCAATGAGCTCAGTCGCTGTTAAAACTGGAACTGTTGGTTATACGATGAAGCATGTGTTATAGGCTATCAAATTCGTAGGATTGGCTAGAATATTGGTTGAAATTGATGGATAAGACGTAACACGAACAATTAATTATAATTGAGAATTGTATTTCATGTCAGTAAATGCATTAGCAGTTACTTTTTATATTCCTTACTCGAGCCCAGTATGTCAGAAAACGAATATTACAAGGACCTGTGAGCTACAGCATTAAAAATATAACAAGTCAGTTAGATTAAGGAATTTCGAGTCGATTTCTGGTCTGTTATTGTTGTAGAATAAGTCTGCAACGTAGAAGATGTAAGTGACAGTAACTTAGTTACGAGTAATCAGAACTGTTAAGTTTTAGCAGTTACAGAAGTTCTGATTTATTATTTCTCGAATAACAATAATGAAAGGAAAGACCTACCGAATCGATGTGCCCGATTTGATACTCAACGTGGAACATTTGATCTCCAGTTTGGCCCATAATCACGAAACGTTAGCAAGCATACACATTCGCACTTCAAGATTCAAGTTCAATATGATAAGTCACATTGAAACTTTCGTCGGTTTCAGCAATCAATTTGGCAGTATGCTGATTTAGAAATACATTTATGGACGACGTTTCGTTAACTCGGTTTGGAAGAGTTGCTAACACTCGTTCTAGAGATCGACGAGCATTTGTAGTAAGGACCCGTCATAACGTTCATCGCTACACCAGGAAGCGAGGCAACATTCACATGAGTTGGGTTAGAACGCAGAATTTCTGAAGTGTTCGCACCTTTCTGAGGGAGGACGACCTCTGGACGCCGTTTGTGCCGCCGTTGCGGTTGGTGAAGGAGGGCGTGCGCCTCATGCCGGGTCGTGCGCCGTCGTAGGAGTCGAGGGACACCTCAGACCCCGCCCTGCTGGGGGGACGGGAGCCGGGACGCGATCCTGGACCACGCGATGGAGGGCGGCTACCTCCTCTGCTGCTAGTATCGCCTGCAAACACGAGCCGCAATTCAACACTCGCTAACACAAGCAATCATTTGATGGCAACACAGCGTGCTCGAAATAAAGACCATCGTGTATATAAACGCAGTTCTCGGTCGAAGATGGGTTTCAACGTTCACTGTTACCTATAAGATTTTGTTCTGGAATTACAAATCTATACTTTGTTTTTATAAACAATGAAGTCGCTATGAGCACCAACAAGCGTGCCTTTCGGTTCGTTTCGAAAAGTTGAGTGTCCGGCTTTATTGTTTGTACAACGTGGAAGCAAACATGTCAATTGGTGAGTAGGTAGGAGATCAATATGGCGTTTTTACACATTTATGGGTACGAAATGAACTGCTGAGCTTACTTCTGGCGTGGACGGGTGCGGAGGCCTTGCGGTTGCCGGGGTGGAGGCGGAAGGTTCCATCAGCGGACTCCGGCGTGCCGGAGCTGAAGGATGACCTGCCCATGGCGGCGCTCTTGGCAGTGCGCTCCCGCACCTACCAATCGCACCATAATTTCAATTACTTTAGGAATAAAGTCTCACTAATTATAGGTTTTGAATTCTGTGTGAATTTTGTCTTTAGATATTTTGCTGAACAGCGAGCTTAGTTAACAAGATGAATTTGTTCGTATAATTCATTATTATTTTCTAATGGAAAATATTGCAATTTTAACTAGTCTAACAAGAAAACTTCCATTTAAATAAGAACTTAAAATTTTATCTACACTTCAAGTAAAATCTCATTATTTAATTGATGACGAGTTCTGCTAATTGATAGTAGTCGATGAATAATCAGTGACTAAAATATAAGTTAATACTAATAGATAATATAAAAATGCGTCGCATTCCAGGCACGAAATGAGAAACACACGAAAAAAAAAAAAACGCATGCACTTATACATAATGTTTCAAAAATACGAGGTTCGATCCAAATTAGAACTTTTTCATAATTCAATCTATTTTCATACTAATAATGGTAAAAAGCAACCACAGCATTAATTGACAATTGAAAATGATTTTAAAAGGAACTTGCATAAATTTAACAATAAGAAGTCGAACCTCGTATATTGAAAATGATCAACTAGAAGCCAGCGTCCTGCGGCATTTCAAGTCAAAACTCTTCAAGATCTCAACGGCGTTTGAACTTCTTACGAAGAGACGTCCAAATTTAAACAAAATGAGAGAAAAAGTGATTAGAAAAACCAATAATAAATACGACGCTGGATAACTTCATTGTACTGGTTATTTGAAAAAATCAACAACCGTAGGAAATGTGTGAATGAAATTGTAAACAAGGTTTTAAATCACATAAAATGATATTTTTGAAAAATATTTGAGAACTCGAGGAGTCTTTTGCACTCACTGCGGCTTCACTTTGCTCCGGGAATTTCATGCAGGGACATTCATTTCTTACTTACCTTGGCACTGCCAAAGGCGACTAGGTAAGACATTCCAACATATGACCTAAATACTGCGAAGAGAATTCAATCGAACTATAATTATCTCAGAATCAGCGTCTGAAGGCAACCTTGCAAAAATAGTGACTTGAAAAAATGGCATTAATTTATGGTTAATTTGAGGAATAATATTTTACACCAAGATTTAAAAACCTGAAACTTTTTGCAAAAGTTGATTGCAAATGCCACAATATGTGAAGAGAATTGCCAGACGACTGATTCATTGAGGAATATAGGTAGGAAAGAGCCTGGCTGGGATGATGAGCGAAGTCAATGGCATCGATGAGAGAATGATAGGTTAATTGACTCGCTAGATGATGAACGATGATGCGAAAACACTTTTTTTTAAGAAATTCACGCTCGACGTAAAATATCACGAGCAATCAAATAATCTTCTTACGCTTTGATTTGTTATTCTAAGATTCGCTTCCTCCAGGGAATAACTTTCACGATGACAAAATCAATAAAAGAAGCGCGTAGGAAATTTTTTCACCTTTCCCAGGCCGAATAGATAGATACATTGAGCTAACCTAACCTTAAATTAACCAATGAAGCTAACCAAACCTCAAGTAAATAAGGGACAATAGTAAACAAAATAAGTACGAAGTAGTAGATCAGAACCAGTGTAGCAGCGCATGCATGCCTCACACTACTAACGATGGCTGATAAAGCTAGACCTACCATTTGCTCATAGGCTAGCAGCATCTGATTGTAGTGCGTCTCCGAGGGGGTAATGGGAGCTTGCAGGACAGGGAGGCTATAAGTGAAATGCTTGCGAAAAACTCAAGCAATCGAGCTTAGCGTGTGATCAGAAATGGGCGCACAAGTTGAAATTAGTTCTACGTGAAATGAACTGAATGTGAAATACACGTAAAATGGAGACATTAACGTTCGAGTTTCAAGTTCAAATTTTGTCGAATCGAAGCCGTGAATATGACAGTTGAGACATCAGTAAACGATAGCAGTATACGAATAAACACCAAAGAATTCTCATGTCTCTTTCAAACTGAAATTATCAAGTACAAATATTTTGAAAAATGTTTGTTTTTTTTGGTTCGGGGGCCAGGAATTAAACTCCCAAAGGTTGGGGCTTGGGATTTGAAATTATTCAGATTTTTTTTCAGTTTTGATTATTTCGTTTTCAATTTTTTCGGACGGGGAGTTAAAAACTTAAATCAAGATAGATCAGAAGTGCAGTGTAAGTTGTTATGCAGCGCGCATTTCAGTACAATGTGAATAAATGAAGCATAGAGCAACATTGGTTTGCAAAACAAAACGAAATAAATAACTACGAGGACGAATGGCAAATGTTAGTTTGTACCAGGGAGCACGACACATCGCAACAGACATCATCATTCACGACATCTAAGAATATTTGGGCAAAAATACACAATTAACTCCGAAGGGTTAGCACTCAATACATTGACACAATATGGATACAACAAACACGAACGAATCAGTTTGCAGAATCAATTCTAAATTTTCACTAGAAATTGATTCCAAACCTTGAGTAAACATCTGCTAACCATTGGCAAAATCATTCCGTATTTTTTTTTTCCGATTGCAAGACAAACAAGAGTTATTTTCGAATGACGAGCGAATACACGGCTACTCGGCAGGCGGGGTTTGGAAAAGCCATCTTCACTACAGGTCTGGGTGTCGCTTGAGAGCTCAACAACTACCTTCTTCTGGTCTCTAGCAAAATAGTCTAAGAAATTTTCCAACAGTAGAATGAATAGGTGGTCCAATTTCACATTTCCGATTGAGCGTATCACTTGAATAAATGAACACAGGCCTTGGGATGCCGTTCGAAATTCACGCTGCGGATCACGATATGTTAATGAGGTCAAGGATCTGGTGCAGAAAGTGTACAAGAATAAAAAATATTTATATTTAAGCGATATTTATAGCATAGGAAGAATAAATCGACACCCAGACTACCTGTAGTGGCGTAGGCCTCGGTTATAGGAATGCCACTACTCAGACAAACAAAGGAGCGTTCGATGGAACCATGGGCACAAAAATTACCCCATCCCATAAGGAGGCGGTGCAAGCCTCTGGTGAGTGACCAACTGTGATGGTAGCTAACGCAGCACAATGTGAACCTTCGTGTTCACTAGCTCGGATGCGCTCAAAGAACGGCATCAGTTCAGAAAGAACGAGATGAGCTGCAACGAAACACTGGCCTCATAACACGTGACACTCCAGCTCCACGCCGAGGTGTACAATTTGGGCAAAACAGGACAGGGGCTAAGATTTTGGAGATGGGACTCCTCGCAAACAGAGACGTGGAATGTGGGGCTTTGAAACAGAATTCGGGAATATTGCATGGCATTGGACATTTCCGCACGAGGGATAATAAATGGTGTAGATGTACAAAAGGAAATGAAACTATAAGATTGTACTTAAATAAACACACCCACTGCATAATAGTGGATGCATACAAATAATCTAAACAGAAACTAAGAGGGATTGAATGATTGGCGAGAGGGCATGGGCGTTGTTATTGGAACCAATATGAGCTCATTGACGAGGTAAATACACAATTATTGTCTGCAGAGAAAGAGGCAGAGTTGGGCGAAGTAAGGAATTTGGGGCTTCAGTGTACATGTAAATTATGGATAAAAAATAATGGACGACTTTACAAAATTAAAAATAATGAAGGTTTTAGCGAGCACTCATAAACATAAAATGAGAATTGCAAAGCTGAATCAAAATGTATGATCAAAATGTATGAGAGAACGATTAACCATACCTGTAAGTCGAGCATAAAAACGGCACTCAATACTGTGGTCACCATGCACAGTCTCATGCTGCTATAAAATGGAACTTACAGACGGCAAGCAACGGCGAACTCAAGATACTTGGCAAATCAAGCTTTAAATTTAAGTATTCATTTAAAACGTATTCAATTCCTAAAGATACGAAAAATGGAATTGCGTAAATGAACATAGGTAATGTAAAAATTGAAAATTAAAAGTAATGCTCATGCCATCACATGGTCTGCATTTCAAGCAATCTCCAATTCGTGGACCAGACAGGCAAGTGTTGCACAAGGATGAAGATGGGATTCAGTAAGAATTCTTCTAATTTTATCGATTATTGGGGAGTAATTTATTCTATAATACTAAGAGAAACGAATAATAAAACAATAATAATTTCGAGTCTAATACTCTTGTGCATCAAGCACGAAATGATCTGAAGAGATATGAGCAAATTCTGGAAGTCGGCAAAACGTCGAAGAATGTTTTACGTTTTTTTGGGATCATTTAACATTTCCATTTTTCTGAGAAGATATATCACTGCCAGTCAGATAATTAATAGGAAATAACTCAACCAAGAATTTAAAATTTCAAGGCTGGCCACTTGCAGTTACCTGACTTGGTAGCGTTTCAACAATTGAAATGAACACGTTTGTGGACAAATAAATCAGTGAGAGGACAGGAGCAAGGAAAATTTATCGCAGGGTTGCAGGTTAGGCAACACACAGACCTTAATGATGGGTCCAGCACCAGGGAGGCTCTGGGACCTGGATTGCGGAGGAGCAGCTCCAGACTGACTGGAAACCGAACTGTTGGGACTTGGTTTTGACTTGAACGCCGTCATGCTTTGGGAGACTCCCTCTGCTAATATGAACTGTTCACGCAACTCCACGTTGGTACGTCCCTTGGCTGGTGTGGTAACGAACAGGAAGGAGTAGGGTGGGTGTTGTGTGGAGAGAGTACGAGTTTTGTGGCAGGGGATAGTCCGTTTTTTGAGGCAAGTTGTGGGGTCAGATCGGGTCAAAAGTTTTGCAAGAACAACGTCGGAATCATTGTCGTTATGGGGATAATGCGGTATTGCGGACGATAAGAATATTCATCCCAGTGACGGAATACATTTAATTTACGCAAATGACAAAAAATGGGATTGAGTAGGAAGAATCACAAAGACAAGTGATTTTCGGATTGTTTGAACGGGGCACCGCCAAATGAAAAAAATTAAAGAAATTCAAGTCGAGTCAGTTGCAGTGAGCATATTTATGAGAAAGGAATTTTGAATGGCGGAGGGAACAGACCGGGACAATTGAATCGTGTTTCAGACCGACATCGTGCGACAAAATAACGGTTGAGAGGGATAACGAAGTTAATGCAATAGTCGCGATTGTTCAGTCAAAAGTTCACAAGCCGTCGGGAGTTGCAGAAGCACAGAGAATGGGGGAAGAAATAATGCAAACAATTAGCAAAAAATCCAGTACAAAACAGAATACACTCGAGACTACGAAAAACATTCATCAAATAATTATAGACATGGTGCAGTGGAACTAAGGATTTCTACTGTGAATTCAATACGAGTGGGGATTAGGGGTTAGGCTAATTCATTTGATTCAGCACTACATTATATTCCACTATTTTGTGCAACCGAAGTTTTGAACTTTGTACTTAATTTGTCAGTAGTGACTACATTTAGACGCGTTCCAAATGAATTCAATTTTCAACGGTGGCGTTTTTCTTGTATTTCTAGGATTTAGTGACGAACATATGACATTTGCTAAACTATTTGGTTCAAAAAATACCGAAACTATTTTTACTGGAGAAAAGTTCATGCTACACTAAAATACACTTTGATGTTATTAATGGTTATTACAAAGAAGGGATCAGTTCTCACAGCATAACATTTGCTGAAAGACCAACATGCACGTGCAAAAGATTTATCTTATAACAGTAAAAGTAGGTTTTAGGAAGATACCTCGTCTACATTTAGAAGCATGACAATGACATGGATGAGAATATGACGAGTAGCCCCATCATTAAATTTATTAAACCTAAAATACACACCACAAATTATATAGCATCAATATCGATATTGTTAAAAGATAAACATTTTAATTAACTCCCGATAAGGATAGTATTTGAACCATCTAAATAACATTAGACAGGAAGATGATGAAGGTTACGTGTCGTACGTATATACCACAAAGTGATAACGTTAAGTTGCGCGAAATAGTGCTCAGTAGTCACATTCTAGATTTTCACTGATAAAGAAACATAAGAAAATGAAGTAATTTTAAATTTTAAATGCATAGATGTGGTACAATCGTGAAGTACACAACAGATACACAAGGGATGATTGATGAAGACTTTTTGCCGATCTCGGTGATGCAATTTTGAGAGAAATTTAACCACATAGAACATTGCAAAAGATCCGAATAATAAACCACGACCCATCAATGAACCGTTAATTCATAAACTCTTCTGAACCTTTCAGGAACTTAAAGCTCAAGTGAGCGTGGCATGATAATTAAGAGTTCCATTGGGATTATTAGAATATTATTGATCCAGATGTTAGAAGCTCAAGAATTCCATTATCAATTTTTGTCAAAATTACGCATATAAAACACAGCCTTCAAACTATTGAACTATTAAGGTGCAACCTCGTATATCAGGTTAAAATTTCTAACACCTATCAATATCAAGACTGCATTCATATTTCTTACAATAGCCTCGAGAGAAGCCAGCGTCTGAGATCTTGGCATTGAGCCTCATAGGACAGCCGTACTCGTGCTGCTGCTGCATCTCTATCGCTTGCTCGAGCTCAGGCAGCGACGGGCAGACTATTTGTGCCACCACAATTATATTTCAGCCCAAGTTCATTAAAGTCAACGGTGACAAATAAACCAAGAATAGGATCGTTCAAAATTTTGAGGTGGTTATCAGACCGATATTTGTAATATGATTATTTATTGATATCAATAGAAATAAGTGCAGAGATTATGATGTTTTGACAGCAGGTTCCAAGACGGATGATCATGCAATGACAACAATTTTATAGCCCATAAACGAAATATTGTGACCAAAACAGGTATGAGTTTCAAAGTACAACGAAAAAGTATGCAAGTTTCCGACGATTATATATTACTCCAATAATAAAGCATGCAGCAGTGATGCGATACATGCAAACAAAAGGAAATTATAAGTTGAAACGCAAGGAGCAACTCATCATTTTTGGATCGTTCACGTGAGAAACGAAAGAAATTAGTTGAATTTGTGAGTAGGATTGTGTATTATTAGAAGAAGGTACATATATCCGTTGGTAGTGGTAGCCGAAGAGGTAAGTTGTAAATTGTTGGTAGTGTTACGATGGTTAGAAGGTAGCAGGGGCGGAGACAAGGGAGGAGAACGGCGTTAGTTTGGCATTCAACCAAGACTTACAATATCGTCAGTAGAATGCTGAGCTTACACCAGGTTATTGTCAAGCAAGACAGCGCCAAAATGCGAGTTCAAACGAGCACTAGGCGAAAAATATTTTCGGATACAAATTCACGATTAGATACAAGAAACAACATCCCACTAACAGCGTTTTTAATTTACATACAACTACAATCCAAGATTGAACGATCGTATGACGCACTTCGCGATCGACGGCTACTTCAAGCTACAGCGTTAGTCACGTTTGATACTAAGTTTAAGCAACCACAACCTTAGTAGCTAATAATAATCATTGGTTTTCAATTCCATTTAGTCATCATTAAAATGAAACAACCCATACGAGGATTTGTTGGGAGCAACGTGGTTATATGAAATAAATTAGTCGGGATACTGCAAAAAAAAAAAAAAATCGAAAATAAAATAAATTTGACCATTATTTTGTCGACAACAAAAATACTCCTCAAGCCACTATATGTAATGCAGCATTCAGTTCCTGGTTAGTATTTAAGCTAGCGTTAATAGCGTCATGTCAATTGGCTTCTAAATATGTTAGTTAACAAAAATTGATGCAGCATGAACTTGTCTATGGGAAACAACACGTACTTGATTCATGATTTCTCAAATTTGGGCATTACTCATATATAGATCGTTAGCAAGAACAATGTTCTAATGAGAGACAACGATATTAACGAATGAAGTTGATATAATAAAATCGCAAATAATGGGAATTAAATAATTCTGAAGAAGAGGGCCAAGGTTGGGGTTCACAGATGAACATTATTTTATAGTTAATATGGATAATTTTGCATAGGTTTATAGATAAATGTTTTAAATTAGCTTAATTTGTCGTGGATGCATAATAAGGACGATACACGAATTCTTGAAATCTTATTAGGCCTCCAACATACTGGGATCGCTGAGAGAATTATTGTCACGTAATTAAAGGAGGTCATGCTATCCTGTCTCCAAATAGCGTGCCGCTACAGAGGATAAGATAAAACCCTGCTCAGCATCTACTTATTTCCAGTCATCTCTGACTCACAGAGATCAATACAATTCAGAGCACACTTTTCGAAGCGGGTATTGTTTGCATCAATATTACATTCATGTGACATTTATGTGATGAAAACCTTATTCAACTCGAATAATGCTTCTACTAAATTAAAATTTAGAGTCTATTCTGATGGCAATAAATTCTCTTCTTTCTCTCCACAAATTAGTAATTAATAAGACCAATTTAAATCCTGATCAAATTGAAACTCCGCTTATGCAAATTCGAATTCTGTTTAAATAGCCATAAATATTTCATCCAACATTAAAATTTGTTACATTTTCCCTATCTAAAAACTTTCACTTCACTTAAAATGTGTAACATACGCATGGAATAATACCAGTGACGTACTTCACACATCATAAACTTGTTTCCTACACAAGACATGACCGCACTAGGTGAGGGCGGGCGCTTACCTCGGCAGGGGTCGTTCTTAACGAGGAACTCATCGAGGCCGACCCAGCCGCCGCCCACGCGCACCATCACAGTCGACCGCAGTATGCGCACCAGACGCAGCTTCTGGCTGTCGCCGAACTGCTCAAGCACATCAATATTGTTCCGTGGTATTTTTAGGTCTATTAGCAATAATTTTATGCCATTTTAATTAGTCGAAGTCAATATTGTTCCGTTTAATGGTTGTTTAGGTCCATTAGCAATAATTTTATGCCATTTTAATTAGTAGACATCAATAGGAAATTTTAAATTTTATCATTCAGATCAAATCCATGGCATCTGAATCCAGGGAGACTACCACGAGTTTCTTGCAAGCTCTTCGTTGAAAAAGAATATTTTCAGTATAAAATGTACAATACTTTGCCACTCGACCAAACTGAGCATTTTCTTCGAGTCTATCAACTTAGCTAATGATAAGGCATGACGAGTATCGTTATTTCAGTACTCACCCTGTATTTGCCTTCGCCGACTTGGTGCACAATGAACTTCTGTCTGCAGGTGCAGGCGTTCACTTGCCGCTGCACCTCATCATCGATCCTCTCAGAGTCGGTGAGCGGGCCCTTCTTCTCCCAGTCTGGCCGCAGCGCTGCGATGAACTCCTGGTAGTCGATCAGGCCGTCGCGGTTGCGGTCGAAAATGTCGGCGACTGCCTCCATTTCAACCTTGCTTGTTGGGAATTCTGTAATAAAGAAAATTTGCAGGATGATGTTACCATTTGCAGGGGTCTTGATTTGAAGCGTACTGAGGCGGCAGTGTTGCAGTGAATGAACTTTGAGTTATGACACTGCTGCCACCTACCTTGTAGGTCAGTAGATAAAATTAAAAATAACAACTGAAACTTTCATCATTTCAAAACATGTTTTCCATTCATATAAAGCTCGTGCAGAATTCTGGCGATGAAATATATCAGGAACATTTGCATCAATTCAGGTCATCAAGTGAAATCTGATGAAAAGTTCCGAATTGTATTTCTTGCAAAATATGAGAATTTTAGGCGAAAAAATATGAGGGATCCAAGAAGTGAAAATGTTGGAAGAATAAACGGAAAATATCCAAATATCTTGTATAAATTTTCAGATACAAATGTGTACAACAAGACTAACAACTAGCGTGAATGAAAAGGTAATAATGTTACAGAAAATATTTTTTGAAGCGAAAACTCAACGAAAACTCACTAGATTTTATGATTCCATCAACGAAGTCGTCTCTCGGCACCATGCCATCGTTGTCTGTGTCCATCTTGCGGAAAAGATCAGTGACGCGAGACTTCTTGCCGTTCATGAACTTCACGAACTGAAAACCGTGAGAAAGTTTAAGTAATGAAAATAAAGAAGATAAATGTAATAAAGTAACGTCATGCAACGACACGCAACGAGTCTTTCAAGTTAAAAATCCCGAATGTATTCACAATTCGTATTCCAAGGCCAAAGTAAACAAATTAAGTCCACCTCAAAATTAATCAAACTTACAGCTTTAAGTAATTCAGTGACGACGTCTACTCAACTGACACTACGAACTCTAATTGAGTTCTAAAAAAGGAAATTTGTAAATAATAGCGTATAATGTTAGAAGTTATACCCTCTTGCGCCACTCGTCCCACGAGAAGTTCTTGAGCTTCTCGAGCTCTCTGAGCAAGTTGAGTTGGTCGTTGAGACGACGCATGCGCTCGTACGACATGTACGTCACCGTCTCCCACTTGTCCCACAGCTCCCGGGCCTTCGGGTTCCGGATTTGAATCTCATCGCGCGGCACGCTCGCTTTGCTGTCCAAGAAACCAGAGGTTATTTCGTTGCTTGAAATGAATTTTAATGCGGCAGGGAGTCACAAAACAGGAGTGATTTGCAATGCGATGCATGAAATAGATCTTTACTTTGCTAAAATCATTACAATCTTTATAAGGTTGAATAATTTCTTCACCCAGACATGAAGGCCATAAGGGCAACTTCGAATAATATCGAAGAAAACGAGTACGATTGACTCCAGGACATTCCGTTAAGTTCGTTTCAAATGAAATTTCGCTGAAGTAGTGCGAAATTTACGTTGACATCTTAAAGAATTACACGAGATGTTTTGCCTGCTCCTAGTGTATTCAAGAATCTTAGTTACTTACCACGGTAAAATTCTTTATATTTTAGTAGATATGAAACGTAAACACATGAAAGAAGTCGAAAACTTTTTAAACAAACTGAAAAAATATATATTTATTGATCAATCAATGTTAGGAAGATAAAACATGAAATTTGACATATAAAATAGAAGAAAAAATGTAGGAAGGCAATTATGAAGCATTGAACAGGAACGTTCAAATATTCTTGATTTACAATATCCGCGAAGGGAAAAATCAACAGTAGAACTAAAATTTGAATGATAATGAGGTTTCACAGGTTCAGTTATATTTATATAAATAATCTTAGCGAAGGATTATTAGTGCACAAGAAGAGAGTTTTTCTGGTCGTGAGTTGCCAAAAATAGGTTACCAAATAATACGGAAACTTCTACGATAATAATTATTAAGGACAATTATAAACTTTCATCGGAAATTCAAGGGTGAGTAACAAGCCTGAACAAAGATTAAATAGCGAGAAACCCAACACCACCACCAAGATAATTAATGTTATAGACCAAATGGTGACATCAGCAGTATACCTGATACACAGAGGAGAGTAAAGCTGAATTTTAATTTGGCCTTAAAAATCATGGTCATTCAAAGATGACGTTAGTTATTGAGATGCTCAATAGAATTCAATGATTAGCTTTAAATAAAGCTCTCTAATATTCATCAAACTTTGGATGGCAAGGCCGTACAAAATTCATAAACCATACGCTTCACATTTTAAAAAAGATGCTTAATTGTTCCAATGCCGGTACGAAAATTTCAAATTGTCGTGAAATGTGTTCAAATGATGCGAATTTAGGCGTAAAATTTTACAAGTACTCAGAAGAAGTTGACTCGCAAGAACTCTTTTGTTTAATCTTTAAGGACTTTAGAATGTTAACGAGCCGGACCTGGACTTTCTAGACGAAACAGGAATGGGAATGTGGGAATGGCCTGCGTTGGAATAGCGTCCCAGGTAACGAGGCGGGACGTCGTAGTCCCTGGACGCGTCCAGACTCCAGTCATGCGACACTCTACGTGTCCCAATTAATACCCCAGATTACAAGTAATCATTTTACAAGAGGTCATTGATAACTCATGATGCCAAATATATATCGTAAGTGAAAAAATGAAATCGTATACGTTTTCGAATTAATGAAGCGCGGTCAAAGAAGCAGAAAACATTAGTAAAGAAATACATCAAAAATAGTTAATGAGCCGAATGTAATTAATTAATCCTCGATTAAAAAATAGTTTCAAAACGACTCGAATCGCCGAAGAAAAATGAAGCACGGTAGACAATTTAAGTCAAACGATGTCAGGAAAATCATAGAAATTCGACGGCACAATATTTTTTTGTTGAGAGGAAGGTTTGGAAGATCGTGATTTTTTGGAATCGTGATAATTCGATTGAGCAATAAATTGTTGTTAATACCAATAACATTGCAGCGAGGAAGTCAAAATGCAAGCATCATTAAAACAGTATACAAGTAAAGCCCATACAATTATATGTTCATGCACATCAAGGGGCATTCAAATTATTAGGTATTTTGCCCATTGCAAAATGCAATTAAAAAGTTTATTAAATACCATCCGCAAGTTATCACCATTATTGTAATAATTTATGCGGTTAACGTTCACAATTAGCCAATATTAGTCACAACCAAGTAATAAACATGCAAAGTGTATTGTAAGTGGCATAATAATTGAAATAAGTAGATTATAAGTTAGTAGATGCGGGGCGTGTGTGCAGGCAGACGAGTTGGTCGGCCATCGATGTAGCGGCGCCGCGTGGAGACAGGCGGGGTGTGGGGGGAACAAATAATAATAAATATCATAATATTAAATTAACTAACATAACACCTAAGGCAATGTTTTCACCGTAGACACTGGGCACCCGATTCCCCTCTGCTGGACATGAGAGCAGGTTGACGCTCGCCAAGATGATTTCAATTTTTATTTTTTTTAACTTAATTTTGTTATTGCTGACGTCATCAGACAGGCATCAGCCACTGATTGATATGTAGGGCATCACTGAAAACCGCTGTTGTATCGATTGAGCAATTCAGAAGCACGTATTGCCTGAATTTACGGCGATACCAGTCAGATTCAAGCAAAATTGAATCAATAAAAGCAAGTGATCATTGCGATGTTAAATCCCAAGCGAAAGACAATACTTGATTATTCGGAAATTGCAGGCGTCAACTTACCACTCATTTCCTGTCAGAAGGACTTCATACATTGTAGTATGTAGTTCATATGTGTAATCACCAGCTAGGGCCCAAAATCAATAACTTAATTAGGGTTACCCTCAATGCTCTACATTCTCATGCATGCATGTGTGTATGTTTACACGGTACCAAAACAATTAAGTCAATATGTACGATTGTGCGTGTATAAAAGCTAGCAAAAATCATTCCATACAATTATAATTACTGGATAAAAGCAAGCAATACCTTGTCCCTCGCATATATCAAACGCACCGACACAAAAGGCTTCAGTGATACGACGCTCGCTTCTCTCGACCGCGCGAGCATCGAGTTAAACATTCAAACGGAGATGCAATCTTCGCTGCCATTGAGAACTTATTGGTTGTGCTTCTGTTACTGCTGAACTAAGTAATTCGCTGCAACTAATTTCAAGCTGACCGGATTGGCGACAAAAAGTTGCAAATTTCTAATGAAGGAGACTAAAGTTATTACTTACATTAAAATTGCACATAAAATATGTGATTCGTCATTGTAAAATCTCACCGCAATCGAGAGTAAGCGTCGCACGTCTCACCGAACCATCAAAATTAAGCTGACTTGAATTTATGAAATTGATAACGAATTCCACTGAAGCTCCAACGCACAATTATGCGAACGTGATTGAGCTTCCTAAAAATAATTACTCAATTGAGCGTTGATTATCACCAGGGTTAAGATTGATTATTATTACCTTGCACCGAACATCCAGGGTCTCGGATATTCTCGGGTTGGAGTGAGCTCGCGAGAAGGCGAGACTCGGCTACACGGGCCCGCACCAACAGTTACGTGAACAACAAAAAGTTAGCCAAAATACGAAGCGCTACAGCACAAAAGTTAAGCATGAAACACACAAACTACACACTCCTTGCAGTCCATATAATATATTACAATGTGTGGACATGGCGACGAAGAAGAGCAGATCCGAGACAACAGAAGTTAGAGTGTCTCCAGAGTGAGAGCGTATGATGTACAGTATCATGCATGGGATGCGAGGAGAGAAGAGAATGTCGCTAATTGAGACAGATCAAAGCAAGTAAGAGTATGAAGATTAACATAATATTAATCGCAGAAGAACCACGTGAGTAAGAAGAAATCAGTCGAAAAACGGAGATATCTTATGTAACACAGAAAGATGACTTACTTGAAGAACAAAAGAAAATGCATCTTTAAGTTGAAATGCAATGAATGGAATGGAATAAATGGAATGCAGGGTGGAGGATGTATCGATAAAGTAATACAACCAGTTAGATACTTTTTTTGCAAAAGGAATCATGCATAGCAAAGTCGTATGATGTTGTTTTAATGTTTGAATAATTATAATATTTCAATTCAATTAAGGTAAAGGGTATAAGAAAAGAAGTGGAGCTTCAATTGAATAACAGGTATAAATTATAGAAAAATTCCGGAGAATGTGTCAGAAGACGACGAAAAGAGATAATATAGGTACTATAAAGAATAGAGGCAACCATAAAATAAACAATCTGAAAAGAGATTTGTAAAAACCCCACACCCAAGTAAGATGAGGTCTGCCATGCCAAATTAAAAGAACGAGCGTGTCGACTCGGAAATGAAATTAAAAAACCATCAGAATGAAACGGATTGAAATGTCTAAAAAGGTTTTCCGCTTAATTCATCCGCGGCCATATAGAAGTATAATAGCGGAACAGTTGAGGTCACTGAGAAACCTAATGTACATCTAAAATATCAGTATGTTATTAACATAACAATTATTCGTGACCCAATCACTATGCCGTGCATGTTGTAAATATTATAGTTTTTAACGAGCACATAAGCAAAAGTGTCAGACTTGATACAAAAAAGCGATTCATGTTTATACGCAACCGGTAAATTTAAAGCGCGATTGTTTGTTGGTTGGTTGAGAAGCAAGTTTATTCGTTATAACGTAGAGCAGGTTTATGAAGCGTTAATTAAAATTTATTCCGATTACTACAAAACAAATTAATTGGAATCTTGATAACCGTTTAACAAAAGTTAATTGGATTTGAAATCCAATATTAGGTACAAACAATTGTTATGGATGTACCCATGACGCCTGGGCAATACAAGTTGACAGTTTACCTGCTCCTGCGGGACTTAGCGCCTGGTGTGCTATCGCGGTCAGGAGTGACACGGCTACGGAAGGAGTGTATCACAAGCAGCGTTAGAATAAGAGTCCCATGTACAGACCGTCGGGTAAAACACAACAACAGAAAACGGGAAATGCAGGCAGAAAACAGTGACACGGGAAACATGAATACAATACAAGGACACTGAGAAAGAAAGAAAACAAAGAAATATACCCTCAGGCAAAACATGAAAATGCATTTTTAGTAAGAGAGAAATACTGAGACAGCGCCAGTCAAACCGCATACAATGTATAAAATATAACTTCAAAAACAATTCGATAATCAAAATTTTATTTAAAAAAATATAGTGAAAAAAAGCCCGATGAAAAAATTGTTAAATGAAATTTTTCGGAGACATAATATAATATATTCATATTGCGGATGCGTTAAAGGGATAAAAACTGAAAAATACGAAAGTGAAAACAAAAGGTATACAGGAGATTAGGTCGGTAAAAATGTAATTAAAATGTAATTAGATAGAAATAATTTTTTTGCCAGGTTTTGGGAGGGTTGGAAACATGTGTTTTGTAGACAATATCGCCTCTTATTGTATGATTCGTCGCAATAACAAACACGATGTAACATAAACTAATTAAACAAAAATGTGGGAGTAATGCAATGGGTCATTAATAAGAAATAAAATGATTGTGATATATTTAAGTACCTCAGAAAAAAATAGGAGATGAACCAGGACAAAGTAATTTGAGGTGCACAAGAAATGAGCAATGAACGATGAATATAAATTGTATTTGAATGAAACAGAAAAGACACTGTAATGTAGGAACAGGATAGTAACCGTCACCTTCGAGTAAAATGTATCGAGAATATGTCAACATAATATAAAGTAAACAAATTAAATTTCTCTTACACATAATGGAATGGTTGAGAGCAAGAATGAGCAAGTAGGCAACTTGAAAGGTGTACAACCATGTAGGTGTTGCAAATTTAACCAGTGAATATTATACAAATTAGCGGAAGGTATCGTAGGATCAATTCCACAAATTAAAAAAACATTTGTTAATGAGATCTGTGTATCTGTGCTACATGCGGATCGTTTAGAGAAAAATATAAAATTTAACTGGAGTTCCCATCAATCGCTGATACGTAGAATTTTCGACACTCCGTCAGAGTTAATAGTGAAGAAAAATCTTTCGCGAAAAAAACGCCCTTCACGCAACAGTACTACAAAAAATACGACCCGTTACTTTAGAAAAAAACAGCCTATAACTGAGAAACGTTCCCAAAAAAAAGAAAAAAAGCGAATTCTTGATGCCCGCGATATCATTAGTCCTAACTCTAAAGGTACTAATTCCTCACTTCCGACTTATTTGTCCCATTGAAGTATCTACAGAATGAAGACGATATAAGGAAATAACGCATAAGAATAAGTTTATCGACTCCTGGAACTGTTTATTTCGATTAGGTCAGCTGGCCATATTAGTCTCATTCAAATGTATTGCAATATAATTATGGAAACGAGATGCATAGATGAAGCGATTAATAAAATCAATGTACCGATCATTAGGCTATAGCTTTTTAAGTGGTATACAAAACAAAATCAAAGTGGCGACAATTCGAAATTGTTTAACTTATCTATATTAAATGTAATTCTCAGTTACAAACAACCAACGGTGCAAAAAAAGTAATTTGAACCAAGCTTTGAATAACAGTTTAAAAAGTTTGAACTGTGTTTTTTTATTCAAAACGTTTTTGAAAAGATCACCGTTTTGAAACATTTAAAATTGGTTAAAACTCTATTCAATCACGTCGAGTTTCATCCCATTAATCAATAGGAAGTAAAACAGAAAACAAACGGGAACTAAAGTAAGAAAAGAAAATTGTTTCGTACACACGGACGGGCAAACAACTACAAGCAATAATATCAAGCTCGTTTGTTAAAGCCAAACCATAAGCCAGTCTCGCCCTCACGCGTAACCGAGCCAGAGCCTCAAAGCTACAAATCACACACTCAATAAATACAACCTGTAAATCCGGCCAAAAATGTTCTTCTCAGGAGCCGTGTGAGAGTGTTCCATTGAGAATTTTAATAGAATTTCAAAAGGAACTTATTTATCTTTCTCTGGCAAAAACTGTTTAAAGTGTTTCCTGTTTCCCGGGAGTGTGATAGACTGAATTTCACCACGGACCGAAAAAAATTTCGACTCAAAATATAGCTCCATGTGATTTGCCTTCAATTAGTACCCCAGTTAGATCAAATGATAACTCGCAGATAATTTTCGATGAAATATACAAAAACGTCCACCCCCAAAATTAATTTAAGAGTTTAGGTTTCCATAATTAGTTCTAGTCATAATTGGGCGCAATCTTGACCCACCTGGACCGTCTGGAAGGATAGTCAAAGTCTGGCGACGTCTCCCTGCCTGGGCTGGTGCTGTCGCGGCTGCAAGAGCCCAACACATGTAAGACTTATTTAAAAAAAAAAGTCTGGCATACTGGACGCACGGGAGCCTTTCATCGAGGATCAATCACATAATCTGCCATTGAAACTGGATGGGCTGACAACGCTTGCTTCAGTACGTAAAATATAGTCTTCATATTGAATGTTCTATTCTTTTCCTCACAGTGACATCGACACAACGACCTCAGAAGAAATTGGTGGTTCGCACAAGTCGCATTTATTAAGATTAAAGACTGAATTCTCTTCAAAATGGTTTAGTTGATCGTAATTGAAATGCTCATGATAGTCATAGATAAATCAAGAACTGGAGGAAAATAAGAGAACATCCCAAAACGAAGACTGGACTCTCAAATACTTGCGACTGGAAAAGTACAAATAACTTGGAGGGTACCGACATGCTTCCAACATTCATCACTACAAGGGTCACCTCTTCGTCGATGTTATTATGCCAGTAGTTTCTCTATTCGGAATAATTACATATATGGACATTTACAACACTTAAAATTTTGTAAAATGAATTAGGGAATTTATTTCTAAACAAAAACCGCCATCCAAACATGAATTATAGTTCGTATCCACAGGTAAATGGCGTGAATTTACACGATGCATAAAAAAAACGCTAAAAGTCTCGATAGTGAAAGTGTGAAACTATTTCACGGACGGAAATTTTCAATGCAGTAACAAAAAACGATGGCAAATAATCATCTCGATTCGAGGTGTATACGCTGACCCAAACATGTGCACGTCAACAGCAAGCACGTGCAGAGAATGTGTCACAAATTCAATGTTTATGCAACTAAAGCAACTCAACTGGTATTGATATACTCAATATGATGTAAACCATGCGACATACAAATTGAAAATAATTTTGAAATGTTTCGAAATTTTTTATTTGTGAATAATCGAGAAGTCTTAGCCAGATGCAAGAATGTTTGGAGCGCATTCATTACAAAGTGTATTTCCCAGTTGGAGTTGCTTTACTTGGGCAATAGGAAATAGACGCTATTTTTTATGTGCTGAAATATCAACTGAATAATGCAGCATCTTCTTTCAAAGTGCATGGAGCTAAAATGTACAAATATCAGGCAAATAATATTTTCTCTCTAATAAAATACAATATACCTCAAGCTATACCTCTGCCGCGAGTCGGCAGTATTTACATAGAAATACTTCGAAAAGAAAAAAATGCTGGCTAAGTACAGAAGTATGTGCCACTACCCATAAAGTTTATAAAAACTGAAAATTTTCATAACGAGCATTTACAAAAAAAAAAACACCGATTCATGCCAAGATGAATGAATATCAAGGAAATTTCATGAAGGGATGCAATTTACAAATTATATACAATTGCAAAAACATTGCTGACAAATATATAACTACTACAACCAACAACATTAGGAAAGGTTTTCGGTTCCAGAAATTGTGTGAATACCGTCAATAAATGCTCAGTTCTTTTGTCGGTTTAACGTAATTTTGAGTAACCAACGAGACCATTTAAGTATACAAGAGAAGTTAAAAAATTAAACCTACACGAGAACATCGCGTTGTGGTTGCAGCCCAGCATCGCCTTGAATTGCAGAAAGAATAAAAAATACAGTACAGCTATGATAAAAAATATAAGGAATAATAAATTCCTACAATAAAAGAATGTTACCTGACACGAAAAAATCGGACCTCGGCAACAACCAAGCTTTTCCGTTTATGAAAAACGAGTGGTCAACTCACCCCATGGAACCTCGACTCTTCTTCTTGCCAGGCAGCGACACGGACGGACGAACTTTGGTGGGCTTGCAGATGCTCAGCACCTCGGGCTCCTTCTTCTGAAGCTCATCCATGAACTCCTTGTGGTCTGAGATCAGCCCCAAGATCGGCGGGATCTCGTCAGGCAGAGCCTGGCTCTCGAGATCTGTGAGATCCTCTTGCGCCTGTTGTACGTTGTGGCACAGTTATTAAAAAAACATTATAATGTGTAATTGATGGACACTCCCCAATTGTCTCACTTAGGCAGTAAATTTGGATTTAGCAAAAGCCATTTCAGTGCAATGTGAATAAACTGCGGTTTTACAAGAGAAAAAAAAAAATTAGTACGACTACGCAACTTCACATAGGCTTAAATTGATGCCAGTTTCCATATTAAAGAAGTTCACGGTAGGGGTAACGGTATACATGTAGAAAATAAGAATCTTACCCTCGTGAGCCACCGCATGAGCCCATCCATGAGCGACTGGAGATCAGCCAAGGTCCTGAAGTGGTCCTGGAGTCGCTGGTCTCGCTGGTCCGCCCACGACACAGCCTCCTCCCAGCGCGTTTGTATTATGTTTATCCAGTGCTTGATGGTTGAGATGGCATCAGGATGAGCCTTGGCCAGGATTTCTTCAGCGAAAGCAATGGTTTCGTTCTTTTCCTTCTCCTTGATACGCAGTTCTTGCATGAAAGCCTCGTGCTCCGCAATCTGTTGACGGACTTCATCCTCGTCCTGAGGCAAGGAGCCAGCGTAGCGCAGCTTCATCTCCGCGTTCGACAGCCAGTCCAGGAGGATGTGCACCGACTGCAAAAAAATTAAAAATTTAGCATGAAAACTTCGAAATAAATAAGAAGTAATTGCTGCCCGTGAAAATAATATGCAAAAAGTTCTTGAAGGGACTATTCAAGAAGTAATAAAATGCTTACGACCCGTCTTCAATGTTATTACTTTGAAATAGATCAAAAATAAGTTTTACATATAGAGATGATTGAACGAATTTGTTAAAGGCATTCAAAATATCAATGAATCAAAATCAACATTAAGATTTAATTTACTGAGACAAACAGAATTATTATTTGAGCTGACAATTACCTTGTGCATCTTTTCTGCATCGTGCCAGGCGTCTTGCAGTCTCTCGGTGTGTCGTTCAGTGGCGCGCTCCACGGCGTCCCAAGTGGACAGCAGTTCGCTCATCTGCGCGCGGATGTTGGAGGCGTCCTCTGGCGTGGCCTTAACCAGTAAATCTTCAGAAATCCTGCGGACACTGTCGACTTGGGTCTTCCTATTGTTCATCTCTTTGCAGAAGTCCTTATGTTTTTCCATGAGAGAATTTACAGTGTCGATATCTCCATGAACGGGACCATCTCCAACTAAGCCCATTTCGACCTTCTTAAGCCAGTCCATGAGGGCTCCAGTGGCCTCTTTGAATTGGCCAGTGAAAAGAAGAGCCTCTTCCAGCTTCCTTTGGCGGTCGACACTCTTCTGGCACACGTTGCTCCACTTGCTCTTGAGCTCAGCAAGCATGTTCTTGATGGTCTCTTCGTCAGATTTCGGTGCCTTGTTTTGGATGTTCTTGCCCATTTTTAAGGTCATGTCATACATGGGCTGCTTGGCACCAAGCTGCTTCTGGAACTCTTTGTGCTTGGCAATTTGGGCCTTAATCTTGTCAGGATCATTGCCTACGTTGGCAGCTAATTCGTCGAGGGTCTCTTCGGCATCGTCAAGCCAGGCAATAAGTTCACTCCAGGCGTCATGGAAGTCCTTGGCTTCTTTGAGACCAAGATCCAATGCTCTGGTTCTCTCGGCCGCCTTTGAAACAACCTTTTCCCACCTGTGCTGAACTGACACAAGCAGATTTTTGATCAAGATCACATCTTGCTTCTGGCTGAAGTATTTGAGATGAGTTCCCTTTTTATCGAGGTTCATCATGACTTCTCGATGAGCAGTGACATCTTTCTTGAAATTGTTGTGTTCTTCGATTTGCTGGATGACGATTTCTAAGATTCGAGATACGGGTTGTTGGTTCAGAAGGAAGTTTTCAGCCTCCGTGAGCCAGGCCACGAATTGCTGAAGGGCTTCATCGAACTCGGTCGCTTCCTTAAGAGCAATTTCCAATTTGATCTTCTTATCGTTTGCACGATTGAGGACACTTTCCCACTTGCTCTTAAGAGTTCTTAGGCCGTGGTTGAGGTTGGTCGCTGCACCTTCTCGAGACCTTTTGAGGTAATCTTGACCCTGCTGTAAAGTGCTTTCAACTTTAGATCTGTTGTCCTCAAGGTCATCGAAGATTTCCATGAAACGAAGCAATTGTTCTTTTGCAGTCTCCGGCAAGCCCCCAACTGGTTTCGACGCCGAGATTGCTTGATCGATGTCACCGAGCCACAGGATGAGATCTTGGACTTCAGCGTTGAAGATTTGAGCTTCCCTAAGAGCGTTCTCAAGGTCCGTCTGCTTGCCAATAGCCTTGTCCTGCAGATTCTCCCATTTCTTGTTGAGTTCCTGTAGCTTCTTCTGCGTCTGCGAGGCATCTTCGGAGCCCTTATCTGACTCGATGAGCTGGCGACCGGCATCATTTAGCGCGTCGACACTAGACTGGTGAGCTTGAATGTCATTAATCGTGACCTTAAGCTTAGCAAGCTCTACCTCGATTACTTGAGGATCACCAAACACAGGCTTGAGATCATCCAAATTCTTGGAAGTGCGTTCTATCCAGACGAGGAGTTCCTTGAGCGTGTGCTGGAATTGGCCGAGCTTGAGGAGAGCGTTTTCGAGGTTCCTCTGGCGGTCGTTGATGTTCTTCATGAGGTCGTCCCACCTTCTGTTCACCTCGCCCAGTGGCTGCATGATGGCGGCTGCCTGGTCGGGCGTTGTTCTCTCACGCAGCTCCTGTGCTTGTCTACAGCAAAAACAAACAATTACAAAATACGATAAATAATTAATTTTATTCAGCATCGTCGATTGTGAATGAAACATTTCAGCGGCAGTACGAAAAAACAATTTCAACTGATTATAACATGATCAATTCCCGAGCATTCACAGTTTTTCCTTGAATGTGTAATGCCCTTGAAATTTGAATGCTGTGAGTAGCATAATATCCACAACAATTTTTTTCAATAAACGATTTCTATGCATGCGATCACAGCTCCAAACAGAAGTGTAATGGTTTTACAAAAAAAAAAATAATAATAATAAACACTAATAAGAAATAAAGTGAGCGTTGATAAAACACTTATCACCACAGTTCGAAACTAGACCAGGAACTGCACATCAGACTGCAGTGGATTTCCAGTTTTGCCTCGTGTGCAAAGAAGAAACACAGTTACACGAATTTGTGATGCAAGTGCGAACTCTTGCGACGCGAGGTGGAGAGAACGTAAATAATAATGGTGATGCTCGGTGGAATAAGCAAAACAGAGGCCATGCGGAAAATAAATGGCTTTCGAGATTATTTCAGGAAAGCTATAAAGAAGTGTAAAAAATCAAAAAGATTATAGGCCTATGAGAACGAAATTAAAGGTGGCTAAAAACAAGTTCATGTCAATATTACAGATTGCAGGCCACGAGTAACGTTCGCGTCGTAATGATTGGACGAATCCATGAGAGGAAAAGACGAAACACACAAGTAATAAATTAGATAGAATTAAGCGGGAGAACTTATCGCGTGAAGTGACCACGGTAGCATTTGCAGCAACTTAACCCTGAGCGATACTGACGTAAATTAAGGCTACTTAAAAATCGGAAATCGTCTCATTCAAGATTTATAAAGTAACTTAAAAACTCGTAAAAACAGATAGGAGCTGCACGAAGCGTGTCTCCTAACGCTTTCAGCAATAAAATAAGTGATAGGACATGAGAACAGAACACCATGCAGTGGAACAACATCGTCAACACTTGCCTTCGTAAACTCCTGAAAGACCAGCCACGAACGGCACCACGGAATGACAGACACCAGAATGTTAAGAAATGTCATTTGATGAAAATACAAGCTGACAGGAAAACTAAAATCGTCCACTCTTATTTTTATAAAATGCCAAATTTATTCTACCGAGGGAAGATTTTTTTTACCTCTGAATTACCTAAAACATTCTTAGAATTATTTTGGAGTGAATGTAGAAGCCAAATCTAATTTCTGCTAGGAGCAATCAATGACTGAACGTCCGAGGTCAATCCGCCCTCAGCCACTGAGGTAGCATCTCATGCAGTGTTTATATTGTAGCTACGTATGCAAAGTTAAATTAAATGTCAATATTCGATTTTCCCACAAAAAATTTTCAATCTATGAAGCAAACTTTATTGTTTTCGTGAGATAAAAATGCGGTGTCATGAGCAGCAGTTCACCATTCCGGCAGCAAAGCAATGAATCCAGTATAATTAGTCTTGATTATTTGTTACGTACTAAAAATTACGCAAAGGAAAAAGTTACTTTTAAAGCAACAAAACAATGGACCGTTTCACATAGGTGATTTAGACTCTGCGTTCCGTATTTTGTTTGATATGAATTTTCAGCCTAGCGACACTATATAAATAAACACAATAGAGCACTGACCTGTTGAGCGACTCGACCTTGACCATGTGCGGGTCGACATCGTCCTTGAATTTATGGAGTTGGTTCATCTGCCCCTTGATGGACTCGATGTCGCTGGCGATGGGACCCAAGTCCTTGAAGCGCTTCTCTGCTTTGGTCAGGAAGTCCAGCATATTCTGCGACATGAGCGTCGGTTAACATAAAACAATACAGACAATTGATGACCTTCATGTAACGACCGTAAAAATGAGCATAAATAAAACTGAGAACTACCCCGGCTTGTCGGAGAGTTAACAAACTGACCTGACTAAATTAAAGCAAATGAAATTGAACTGGTAGAATATTCAAAATCGAGAAAAAATTGAGGTAAGCCTATCCACCAATAGAAACACAAACACCTAAAAATATGGGAATTCATTTAAGTCATGAATCATTGTCGACGGGACGCATCACTTACTCTGAGGGTGTCGTGGAATTCCATGGCCTTTTCCATTGCATCGATGAGGTTTTCCTCGCGCTTGGCATAAAGTCCCGTCACGTTATCCCAGGCATAGTCGAGTTCCTCGATGTTTTTCTTGACTTCAGGCTTGTCGGCGTCACCACACAGCGTCATCAAATCACGTCCAGTTCTGCGGACGCTCTCAACCTCAGGCTTGGTCTTGTCGATCTTACCCTTGATCTGGTCGAGTTCGTTTCTCTGCTGTTTGAGTAAACTAGGCTCGACGGCTACAGGTTCTTGGGTCTTCAGAGCGTCTTGAAGATCCTTGAGCTGGTCCATGACATTCTGCAGCTCGTCCCAGAACTTCTCCGCCATGGCTAGAGCATCGTCGAGAGATTTGCCACGATGTTTAGTGGCTTCTTGGATGTTGTCCCATAGCTTGTTAAGGTGATCCAATTTACCCTTGATATCTCGGACGGCAGGATCGTTTCTAGATGCCTTATTGATGACATCCTCAGCGGCAGCCTTCACGGCTTCAAAGGCAGTCTCTTTGCGTTCGAGATCTTCAATGATGCTGTTATTTTCGAGCTGTTGTTCGTGGATCTTTTCAGGATGAGCCGAAATAGGTTCAGCATTTTTAACGAGGTTTGCTGTTTCGTTGAGGGACGACAACATTCCATCGAGCTTGTCAGAGAATTGACTGGTTTCCTGCAAGGCATCTTCAAGAGCCTGAGCCCGCTCGCGAAGCTCACTCTTGAGGTTGTTGTAGCGCTGGTTGTCGGATTCAAGGATGTCCTGAATCTTGGCTGAATCCTCAGCATTAACAAGCTTCAGTAGAGCTCCTCCAGTCTTGTTCAGCCTATCCAGGAGTGGCTTATGATCGGCAACACTCTGTAAGAAAGCCTTGTTCCTCTCAATCTGCCGAGCAATTTGATCAGGGCGCACAGCGGGTGCGGTCAAAGCCAGAGCTTCATTCTCTATAGCATGCAGCCATTCATCTAGTTCTTGGTGAGTGTCGAAGAAGTGTTCAGCTAAGGGAAGAGCCTGCTCCAAGTTAGACATTCTGTCAGATGACAGTTTGGAGACACTTTCCATCGTGTCTTTGAGGTCCTCCATCTTTTCCTTCATGTCGCCTAAGTCCTCACTGTAAGCAGCTTCACGGATGATTTTCTTGGCGTTGGACAAAACGTCACGGACGCGGCCTTTCTGGCTCGCAACGTCATCGTTGAGGGCTTTGTGCTCTTTGAGCTGAATGCGAATTTCGTCCGGCTCAACACTTGGCGGTTCAGCTTCCTGTATTTGATGCTCGACTTCTCTAAACCAGTCAAGGAGCTCATCGATATCATGAGTGACTTCCTTTGACCTCTTCTTCGACATCTGCAGACGTTCCATGCGTCTCTGGATTTGTTCACAAATTTGTTCAAAGCGTCGATTGGCGCGAGTGACGATGGTTTCGATGATCGACGCTCCCTCTCCAGGCGACAACTGGCAGAGCTGAGGTCCAACGAGGTTGACAGCTTCAATGAGGGGACGGTTTTGTTGAATCTCTTTTGCGAGATCTTCAATATCTTCTTCCGGAAGGCCTTGTCCAGACGAGTCAATACTCTTAAGGCGATTCTCCGCATTGCCCATCCACGAGTTGAGGCTATCATGAGCCTTGTGGAATTGCTGAACCAAAGGAAGGGCTTCATTAGCTGCCTTATGCAAATCAGACGCCTTAGAGTGGAGATCGCTGTAACGACGATTGATTGAGTCCAGTTTCTCCTTCAGTTGTAGGGCTTCATCGCTGGAAATGTTCTTCATAAGCATGTTTCCAGACTCCATGACTTCTTGCACTTGCTTTTCGTGGCTGACAACTTCGTCGCCCAGATCAGACAGCTCGTCCATTTGTTCAAGCAGTTTATCTACGAACACTGAAACTACGCGGTACTTCGAGAGACGCGCCTCCATTTCTTCCATCCAAGAGAGTAGGTCTTCGTAGGTGAGAACAAGGTGACGTAGACCAACCTTGGACTCTTGTAGCAAGCGTCCCAACGCTTCAGAATCTTCCACAAGCTGTCCATACCTGTCAGTTGTTGCTTGAAGTTTGTCAGCAAGGGCATTACCTTCATCATCTCCGATGAGGTTCATGAGGGTGGTAGCAATATCAGTGAGTTCGTCAAAGGCCGGCTTCTGCCCAAGAATTTCATCATGAAGACGGTCATGTTGATCTATAAGTCGTTGGATCTTTTCTTCGTCAGAAGGAACGGTGCTCATGGCCTTGAGTTTCTTTTCGCTGCGAGTGAGCCATTCCAAGATAGGATTGAGTTTATTTTGGAAAGCCTTTGCAACCTTCACGGCTTCCTCCAAAGCATCCATTCGGTCTAGAGATCGAGCGTTTGCATCGTCAAACTTGCCCACAAGTTCTTGAAGTTGGCGTTCAACATTAGCTTTTTCGGCGGGGTCAACATCAGCAGCAAGATTACGTCCCATATCAATAAGATCCTGCATTTCCCCTTGCTTGTCAGTGATGGTCTTGCGGATGAACTTCTGCTCTTGAGCTTGGGCCTTGACTACAGAATATTCACCTGAAATAGGAGCTTGGCCATCCATCATCTCTTCGAAAGTCTTCAGCCATTGCGCCATGTTATCGATGGCGTCCTGGAATTTACCAGATCGTAAGAGCCCTTTGTCCAAGCCTCTCTCACGTTCAGCAATCATGTCCTTCAGGCTGTTCCATATGGCATTCAGAGCATCAAGGTCCTTTTCGAGTTGCGATGTGTCAACTGTAGAATGGGCGCTCTGGACGAGACCTTGTCCAAGTTTGTTGCATTCAGAAACTTGTTTACCTAAGGCTTCGATGCGGCGAGCACGGAATTGTTTGAATTCCTTCTGCTGAGCTCGAATGGTGTCTACATCAGCACCGACTGGCTTGAAGTTTTCAGCCTCCTTATCAGCTTCTTTGATTTCGTTAGCAGCTTTGCTGAATTTATCATAGAAATTCTCGAGTTTCTTGTAGACTGTGTCTAGTTCTTTGTCGCGGCTATCAGCTCTATCATGAACTTTCTTGAGCTGTTTCTCTAATTGTTTGATTTGATCTTCAGCCACTTTGCTGTTGCTGCCGGTGAAGCCATGGCTGACTAAGTCTTTCAGTACAGCTTTTGCTTCGTCGATTTCGTCGGCCTTCTTATCAACCTTACGCATGTAGTCGTGTAGCTCGTCAATTTGACCCGCAACGGTTTTAATGTCACGTCCCACTGGCTTCATTCTATCCAGTTCGTCATCCAAACCGGTAATTTCTTGCCCGACGTTCTTGATTAGACCAGAGAATTGATTAACTGCATTGGAAGCTTCTTCCAAATCTTGGCACTTGCCTTCCAACTTGTTTTTGAGATCACCATATCGGTCCTTCAGATTCTCCACTTCATCTTGAACGTTGCTGCCGTCGGAACCAAGCTGATCTGCAGCATTGAGAAGGTCTTCACCCTTCCGTGTAACCTGATCCACTTGCTGTCCAAGACCATCAGCCTCATCCAACAAGGCCTTCATTCTTTCCAAGGACTTAGGATCGCTTTCGTTGCCGCGAGAAGAAAGCTTGTCTTCGCAGCGCTGGAGAGCATGGCCGACGTCACGAGACTTGTCAAGGAATTCGGCCAACTTTTGCGCAACTTCGTCGAGATCTTGAGAGCGGCCAATGGCAAGGGCGTTGAGGGCATCCCACCGCTCCTTCATTATAGACAGAAGATCGAGCACCACTTCATGATCAATGTCGGTGCAAGCGATGAGGGAGTCGCCGGCGGATTTATTATTCTCATATTCTCCGCTGTGGCGAGAAAGGTCGTTTTTGAACGTTTGCATTTCCTTCATCTGCTTGTCAATGTCTTTCTTATTGAAAGCAATTGGCTCGAACGAATTAGCCTTTTGCTCAGCTTTGTCAAGCCACGGGTTAAACCTGTCTTGCATGGAATGGAATTTGTTGCAATTGTCCATGCATTTTTGCAAACGCGATCTCCTGTCGACAGCAGTTTTGCGCACGTTGTCCCACTCTTTTTTGATGTCATCAAGAGTGGTAGATAGCATCTTATTGATGTCTTTCTTTGGAGACTTATTAACGATATCCTTCCCTTTGTTAATCATCATGATGACTTCATGTTCTTTGCTCATCAATTCCTTGTACACAGGCTCAAATTCGGCGACTTGCTTGGAAAGCACATCTCTGTCGGCTGAAACTTGGAGCTGATCCTTAAGATGGGCGATTTGATCAGCCAACCAGTCCTGCACAGCGTGGCATGAATTGCCAAATTCTTCCTGATCACGCAGCGAGGCTTCCAACTCACCTTTGCGGTTGCCAAGTTTACGTTCCAGGTTGCTGAAGAGTCTGTTGAGGTGGCCGAGTTTATTTTTGATGTCGGATTTTGATGCAGGGTCAGATAGAATAGAGACCAAATGTTCAGCAAGACCTTCCAAATTTACGAGAGGACCACGAATGTTAGCAAGTCCGTCTTCAACGTTCTGCAAGATTTCAAGCTGTTTGCTGGGCTCAACGCCCCCGGAGTTGGCGTCATCCAGATCATCGGAAAGTTTCTGCATGTTATCGTTGATTTTGTTGTACATATCGTAGAAGTCCTTGCTGGCATCACACGCAGCGTTGAGGGCAGCATCACGAGAATCCAATTGACCCAACAATTCGGTCCACTTGTTGTTGACCACATCAAGCTTTTCGTTGATTTTCTTGCCGGCAGGAGATCCTGGCTCTGTAAGGCCGATGATCTTGTCTCCGGAGTCGTTGAGACTGTTCAGCTTAGGCTCTTGGTTGAGGAACTCATCCCTGAGGACTTGAACCTGCTGGGCCTGCATTTGCACCATTCTTGGATCAGATGCGATGGGCCCGAGCACAGACATCATCTTGTCCTTAGAGTTGAGCCAGAGCTTAAGGCTGTCCTCAGCGTCCAAAAAGTCTTTCATTTCGCTGAGGAAGTTCAAACGCTCCTTGAGTCTGTTTTGGAGGTCCTTGAATCGCTCCATGACGCTTTCAAGCTGATCCATGAGCATTTCAGCTCCAGGCGCTGTGGGGCGACGTTTGAGCAGATCAGTGACTTGATTTCTGACGCTGTCAAGAGCAGACTGTTTATCTATCATATCGTCACGGATAGATTTGACGAGTTTGTTCTGTTTGTCGGCCTCTTCTTTGGATGTGGGCACCGCATCTCGCGGCAAGGCACGCTCAGCCTTCTCGATAGCTTGAGCAATGTTCCTGAGAGAGTCTCCAATTCTACGCAGTTCTTCTCGGACGTTTTCGAGCTCGCGCTGCCGTTCGTTCAGGCGGATGCCGATCATGTCGTAGCGAGTGTTCATTTCCGACAGCTCCTGTTGCACTGGGCTCATTTCTGTTGAAAAAATATTGTATATAAGCGTTCACAGCGCAACAGACAGATTTCAAGGCAATTATATAACAAAACGATTGCATGCAAACGGCATTGTGTTGAGCAATGACTAGAAATTACGAAATGAATCTAAAATATCTATATATATATATAAATTTTGGTAAGTGCCAAAACATCAATATCATTGTCTACGTTTTTTTCTGTTGGACAAATAGTGACAAGTGATTTTAAATGAAGTATGAAAACCGACCCTCGAGGATGAAAGACTGGGTGGAAGTCCTCCTGCTGCTGGGGCTGTTGAAGCCCCCAGGGGACATAGGACCTGTACCGTTATAGCCGAGCAGCTTGGCGCCGGGGCTCTGGCTGCGAGTGTCTTGCGACACGCGACGTACTGGGGTAAAAGCCAAGCGAACGTAAAAAAATCGCAAACAAAAAAAACAGCTTCTTTTGGGAAGGGATAAGCAGAAACAAGAAGATAAAAAAAAACAGAACGATAATAAAATAGTGCTAAGGCCACTCTAAAACACAAGCTTGAAGTTTTTTAAGCTAATATCTAAAAGACTCGAACTTTAATAGCATCATCACTCATTCCTGTGCAAGAACCCTTCATTGCTCAGGTGCTTCATTTATGATGAGTGATGCTTAGCAGCAACGAACAACTCAAGAGAAATTTAGTGCGTTTGAGCACATAAAAAAAGTTAAATAAAACCACCAAGATCAAGCTATACATGGACGCCAGGATTAACTGATAAACGGACGAGAGGATCAACTGATAAACGGATGCCAGGATCAAGTGATAAATGGATGATCGGATCTAGTGATAATTAGACACGAGGATTAAGTGAGCAATGAACGCGAGGGTTCAGCGATATATGGAAGCGAGGATAATGTGATAAATGGACACAAGAATCAAGTAATAAATTGAGGCGTGAATCATGCGATAAATGAAGGCTAGATGAATGAATGGACGCGATAATAGTTCGATGAATGGAGGCGTGGATCAAGCGTGGTATAGAGGCGAGGGAAACGATACAAATGGAGTAGATCGAGAAACAAATGGACGCTAGGATGCGGACAGGCGAAGCAGGCGTTACATCGACAGGAGGATTTAGTAAAAAGTTTATCAAACGAAAAGTAAATTTGGGCATCAAATTAAAAAAAAACGTTTGTATCAAGCTAGAAATCGACGGGTGAATTAAGTATAAATTCGCCGTCAGATATTAATTTGAATTTAAATGTTCAAGCTCGTAACTCTATAGTAATTTATAAAGACAGTTAGCTCTCAAGAAAACTGGGATTAGAGATTCATTTGCCTAAATAACCAGCTCAATAAGTTAATTTCCTCGTCAAGATTGATGTAATATGCTTTCCGCCTCAACATTGATACAGGAAATAATCGATTACCTACATCCCAATAGGAGGGGATTTATTGAATGGATAACAAGCGATCATGGAAGGAAGTGCAGGAGTTTTAGTTTAAAATACAAAATAAATGAAAAAAAACACAACGAAACAGTTCGGTAACGAGTAACGTAATAATCAGGGACAAAAGCCAATAAATGAGAAACAATAAAGCATATAATCAAGAAACTTACCTAATAAGTTGAATTTTACTTAAATTGCATCATAAGAATAAGAGCGTCCGTATTAGTAGCCGTCGATGTAACGGGAAAAGTTATGTGGATATTTATTGCATACACGGTCACTATACACTTGCAGTTCTAACCTTTACGTATTAAAATACTATGATACTTACAGCAATTCAGATGATTAATACACTTTTTTAACTTTAGAGTTTAGATGTTCTTTAATTGAATTCGAACAAAACGGATAGACCTGTTCGTCACAGCTGGACACCATTTTGCAAGAGAGTATCACAACAGTATTTGAAGCTACGGTATATTCTTAGTTCAACTCATTTTATTCGGAATACCACCATTTCCTTCTTTGCTAACGCTACTGACTATTCCTTGTTAAGATCATTGCTACAAAAAATGCAGCTCACCGGATCCCTTGAGCGGCGTGCTGATGGAGGTGCGCTTGACAGGCGCCACGGACGAGCGTCGTCTGCCGGGGCTGTCGGAGCGGTCGCCCCGCAGGAGGGCGTCGTAGATGGCGCCTGTCTCCATGACTTTGTTGACCAGCGCCTCCGTCGCCGCGTACTCCTTCAGCAGCGGCTGTTGAGGCACGGTCAACGGTTAGAATAATCCTCGGAATGTTATACAAGTTAAAATTTCAGCATTGGGACTTGATTACAGAATCGAAGTACAACCGACTTGGCTTGATCGGTTAAAAAGCTAGTCAAGAGTAAAGGAGGCTAATGAGAGAACTAATCTCGCAGATACGGAAACATACATTATATATATTTTGTATTTCAGGCCAAATTCCAGTGGCCAAAACATTCGAATGTAAGTTGCGCGAGAAGCGAACAAACATTTTATTTTCTAATCGGGTTCATTGGAGATTATAACTCGGTGCCCGAAATATTTTAACGTCACAAAACCAACAATGAATAAACTTCGAGTTCTTTCATCTTCATCACTGTAGACCAAAACATGTAAGTTATAATATTTGAACAGGACGGTGGAGAACAATGAACGAACCTTGAGTTCCTCAGTCTGGTTCTTAACGATCTCCTGCTCGAGGCCGACGGCAGGCATGGTGTCGAGGATGTTCTCGGTGGTGGTGAGGTACTGCATGAGTTTGTTGCGCGCCGCCTCGTACGCGACCATCTGCTCTGAGCGCTCCTTGCCCGCGCGCGCGCTGTCGTCCAGGACGTCGTTCAGGTCCTTCCATTGGCTCTCCAGATTCTTTTATTGAAATAAGAGGATTAATGCCACCACATTCTTCAAAGAAGCTTGAAAAATGTTTACAAATACTGACAATATGCAATATTAAAATCGTCCATGAAATATTTTGCTGCTCGTAGATAAGATGAACTGTGGTAGTTTAATAAATTTCAGCACGTACTCACAAATGTATACACTCGTCACATCGCTCATTCGGTATAGTTGAACACTTGATATTTTAGCTGTGGTTAATAAATCATCGATTTGCATAAATGAAAAGCTCACCTTGATCTGCTCCCTGACGGGCGGGGTATCCGTGACGTCCTTCTTGTTGACGAGATCCTTGCCTGTCCTGATCATGCCCTCGAAGTCAGAGGTGCGGGCATCGCGTTGCTGAGTGATGGCAGCGATCTTGCGTCCATAGCTGAAGAAATTATGAAAGCTTTAGTACTCAAAACTGTACAATTAAAATAACGCACAGAAATATCAGGTATAATCCCACACATCTTGGAATTAACTTCCCTTCCTAGATGATAATCGATTTACATAACACAGAAGTTACTCCACTGGGGGAGGGTCGACCATGGTTTTGGTAATACTTTTCAAACTCAACAGTAAACTGGAAATACTTTGTAAACTAACACAACATCCCAAATAACAGACATGGAAAGAGAAACGACTTCTATACTTCTATTTGTTAGCTAAAATCAGAGAATAACTTTAACCAGTTGAACGCACCTCTCAGTGTCGAGCTGCAAGACTTCCTTGGATTCGACGATCTCGACGATCTCAATGTACCACTCCTGGAAATGCTCGACAGAGACCGTGAAGGCGTCCAGCTCACTGGATACCTCTTCCAGGTGGCGGCTTCGCTGACTGGACCGTTCAACCACTTTTTCGAACCTGCACAAAATGATGATGATGTTTACAGTTTAATTAGCTAGCCATTTGAGCTGTTTACTGATTAATTAACAACGGCCTCTGAATCGCCAAAAACATAAAAGGCTTAAAAACTCTAGTGATTTAATTGAGTCAGCGAATAATATATGATAACTTACAAAGGAAAAAGGAGATCGGTAACCAATACAGCATTGGCAACGGACCAGAAAATTATACTAGACTAGATGTGACTATCAATAAACGAACAAATTAATCGCACACATTGATTCAGAAGTATGAATTACATGATAATTCGGTGCCCATATACATGGGTTAGACAAAATAAAGGAAACACCTGAGAAATCGTAGATAAAATATATTTTAGTATGGTATAAAAAAATATATTATAGTATATGTGTACCCGCGTGGGTACACATATTGCAACAATTACAGCCTCAATTCTCCGAGCCACTGATTCATGCAAATTGAGAATCGTTTCCAAAACAATTAAAACTCATTCTTCAGTTAACACTCCCTCCAGCTCTTTTAAAGACTATGGCGGCGGGAATCGACTTCTTACTTGCATCTTTAAAATCGACCGTAAATGTTCGATAATATTCAAGTCTGGTGATTCCGGTGGCCAAATGAGATGCTCGAGTTCATTAGAATGTTCCTCGTGCCATTTTTAAGAAATCAAGCTGTATTGATCGGGGCATTATTATCTTGAAAGATGGCGTTCCCAGCGGAAACATTGCTTGAATCGTTGGATGAACTTTGTCCTCCAAAATTCCTAAATAGTTAAGGCTGTTGATTCTTCCACGAGGAGAAATCATTGATCCGCCGGATTTCCAAAAATTAGCACCCCAGATCATCACAGATCCCTCGCTATGTTTTACGGTAGGGAGGTTGGAGTCGGGTTTAAATGACTTTTGGTTGTCTAAAAACGTTAACTCGGCCAGAGGTTGGAAATAACGTAAATGATGATTCGTCAGAGCAAGTCACATTTTCCCACTGCTCTATGGACCAGTTCTGGAGGTTTTTCCACCACTCTAAACGCTTTGAAGCATATGTATTTGAAACCAGAGGTTTTCTAATTGCAGCTCTTCATACATAGAATTCAGATTTGTGCAGCTCTCGGCGGACAATCTTTATGAAAACTGAGTCCTGTAGATGTCCATTGAGGTGTGCAGTAATTATAACAGCCGTGTTCTTTTGATTGTCCCTCAAAATTCGATTTACCTACCGACGGTCTCTTTCATACAACTTCAACTTTCGGCCAGAGCTGTGCTTTGCTGAGGACGTTTTCCATTCTCTTTCAAAAGCAGCATTACTTTTGAGCCGATGTCTCTAGAAACGTCAAGCATGCGGGACGTTTCTATCACACCTATAGCACATGCCATACGGGCACCAACAATTTGGCATCTTCCATTTTGGTCAGATAGGTTTGCCATTCATAGGTTATAGGCTAGGTTGTAGAAATAAAAAAAAAAAAATTTTTTACCAAAAATATCTGTGCAAGGATAAAATATCAAATATATCACGTTTTCATTGCTCATAACATGTTTAAAAATTACGATATCAAAATGTCGGGTGTTTCCCTTATTTTGTCCAACCCTGTACGCCTGTATATCTGGTATCATAAAAGGTATATTGCATCTCACTGGTATATTGCGTCTCACTAAAAAAAGAAATTGCAAGTAAATAAAAACGCATGACATTTTGCAGTATGATGATAAACGCTTTTTGCAGCTTGGCAAACACATATGACGCGGAGAGGCACTCAACATGGCTGTGCTGAACGGATACGCAAACAAACAGCAGAGAAATTTTGAAGACGGCGCAAGATCTACGAACGAGCAGCCAGCAGATGCCGGAAGAATTAGTGTCGCAAAATTGAGAAACTCAAGCTACGATCCTATGAAGACGATTCTTGAACCCTAATACCTGCATGCTGCCACGCAAAATAAATATGAGAAATTATATTATTTATATTTATAATATGTTAGATGGAAATGGATGTCATATAGTTCTTGTGAGGCGATGCAGGTTGTGAGTAGTTACCACTACACGGTAAGTAAAAACCGTAAAAGTTCATAAAGTAATTAAAGCCGCAGATTTCTGATTTTAGAATTTGGAATAATTCGTTCCGTTCAGATTTCAGCGGGGATGATCATCGCTCTAAGCTACAGAAATAAGTGTAGGATACAACTTAACCATCTAAGACTCGAAGAAATTATCGAACTTCAATATCCAGCAAGTTGCATGCCCAAGGTGACCGTCGTTCGGTGAAAAGATCGCTGATAAAGGGTCTATCACGACCGGGCGCGCGGTCAAACTTTTGACTGTATACCAACCATGAAAGCGCTATACGCTCTACCAAAATGCTCGAATGTTAGAGAACGCAGCACCGTTACTCATAATGATTTCTAATGATATCACACAAATTAATCACACTACTAACAAATTGATGGCCAAGCCGTGGATGTTTATTCCTATGTGAAATAAAACATTAAGAATGAATAGACTATAGAACGGAAAAAATAACTTTGAAAAATAATGGTTAATTCGCTATGCATAATTTCCAATAACTAAGAACATTACTGTTCTCATTTGTTATTGTTAATTAAGCTTAGAAGCACGCATAACAAATCGCATAGCAATTTAAAATATTAACTCTGCTTCTACGCGGAAGCCAACTGGAGTGTTCAGCAGGGATCAGTGCCGGTGCGGAGTTTTCGATCGCGTGCCATCAAGTGTTTTACGAGGGTCGTTTGGCCAAGGAGGTTGCGGGTTCATAGCAAAGAAAGAAAATAAAAAATAAAAACATTCGCTAATTTTCGAGAAAGTTCTCGTATTTGCGACAGAATTACCGGCAAAAATTAAAATATTAAATCTGAGTTACATCAGGCTGGCTTTAGAGCCACAAAATGCATTTTGCATAGGTAAAATATTCTCAGCTAACAAAGCTGTAACCGCAGCTCGATGACCAGCAAAAATTAACTTCTACGTCATCGCATAGATTCGTGTACACAACGCATTAATCAGGAGGACAAAATAGTTTTATCGATGCATTGCTATAAATAACCAAGATTTCAAACTTTCAAGAGAGGTAACCATGCAAGTGGATAAGCTTCATTCACAAGGTTAACAACTTCGGCAGAAGCAACATTGATCGTAGATAAAATATTAATTAACTGGATGACAAATGAATGACTAAGGTTATAAGAAATAAATGACTCCCTCATGAATATCTGCAATTTTTTTCTGAAAATACCCGCTTCCAGGAATATCTGCTCTAATACTTCTTTTTAAATAAAAAGCGACTTACGAAATGGTAAAAAAAAGATGAGTTTTAATCAATCGAATTTTAGAGCGACTCTATAAAGAGAAATCTAACTAATCGTTCTACAAAGAAATCGAACATGTGAATAACGAAAATAAATACAGATGTGTTTATTACACAGTGTAGAGAAAAATGCAAAACAAGTTAAACAGTTTGTGATTATTGGTATCTAAATTTGATAACATCATTCTCTTCGGAGAATCTTCGTCACTCGGACGAACAGTTTATATTTTTACTAAGCATGAGCGATATTCGATGAACATGACTGGTGGATAGGTTAGAATATGCAACCTACAAAGTCTCAGGGCAAGATCTACAGTTGAGTCCTGCAGGACCTTGAGCGAGGGCTTTTGTGAGCAAAAGCGACTATACAATTGAGAGTATAAAAGAGATATGGTGATAGCTTTGTTCATGCCCCTGCCGTGCGGATAATGCCACAAGCTCTAACATCGAATATCAAGCAACAAGCTGGTTTCAAAACAACTTCTGAACAACTGAATAAATAAATGCATCGTAATATTCCTTTGAGTAAAACTAATTTGAAATCTAAATTATTGACAGTCATTTGACCGAAAGATTTCTGAATGGAAAACTTAACCTGGTAAATGTAATCGAAACACAAAAATCCATTCAACCTTATCATTGTTTCGTGTTTACTGTTCATGAATGTAAGGCACGGCTTAATAATTGACTAGAACAACTCTTAAGAAATCCTGCAAGAAGCCGGTGTATAGGGTGGCAACCGAACTGCAGAACTCTAAGGGTGCGGAACCAAGTCGTGCCAGAGTGTAAAGCTGGTTTATCCCTCAGGCCTCATCATTACATATCTGCGAAAACCAGTTTAGCATACTCGGGTCGTGCTGCAGAAGGCTATTATGTAGAGCACCACAAGCCTTCAAGCAACGCCTGCAATATTGAGAGGCTCAAAAGCTCTGGTAAGAAAATTCGCCAAATTTCATTCGGAAGTATCAAGACGTATGGCCACATTCTGAGAAATTCAATTACCATTTGTTAATCAACTATTTTCCGATGTCCATTGATATTCATGGGAGCGGTCGTATGAAATATCTTGCAGGATGAGTTGCAACTCAAGCTATTGGTATGCACAACGTAAATGCCCGAAATATATACGTATGAACCAGCGTAAAATGAATACATATTCAAACGATCGCCACGCAAAATCGATACCAATGGTATCGAACAATGAACAATGAAATTTTATTGGACATAAGTACATTAAACACGTAAATAGGATACAAAACAAATATTTCGAGACAGAAAGTCCTTCCGCAAACAACCTCAAAATTTAGACAAATCCTGTATAGTTTGGAAATGGACAGTTGGGGTTCAATCCAAAATGACGAGAGTTCCAGCAATCGTTGGTCTTGCATGGTCGGTTAATGTTGTGCACCTCTCCATGATGAGGATGCTGGTGGGTTTCTCCAGCACGGTTCCAGCGTTGTGACCCTCTCAGGGAACCTCTGCCATCCAGACTGAAGATGGCAGGCGAGACGGTCTCGGTGTCGTGGTTGTTAATTAGTCTAAGTACTCAACTGTAGTCCAAATGATGAAGAAGTCTGCAACCCTCTTTGAAGTAAAATTATAGACTACACCGGCCTCTTGAAGGAGAACTTATCGAACTTCAGATTGTTTGCGGAGGGACTATCGATCTGGCTCGAAATTTTCGTGTTGTATCCTATTCACGTGCATTATGTACTTATGTTCACCAAATTTTCATTTTTTCAATGCTCATATTAACTTTCTCTTAAAATAAAAGCGGTTACATTCGAAACGTCGTTAATATATTATTATTATTCAATAAACATGCCTTTTGATCTACCAACGTCATCTAAAGAATTGTTCGACTCCTGGAAAATTGTAAGGCATTCTCTGGTAATAAATTGTACGCATTGAGCAAACTCCAGTTCATACTTCATCAATAGTCCTACAATATACCAATCGCATCGTGGTTATCAATGAACCCTGCTGATTACGGCAACCTATCAATTAAATCCTATTTTACTCTAAGCTACGGTCTTTGAGCTGCGCACACTCACATATAACTACAATTAGTGGTAAATGTGCCTTCAAATGCGCCTCGCATTTTAGACCCTTTGTGTTAGGTTCCATGCACTGGCTGAAAGATTAACGCAATAAATAATCATTTTTCCACTGCGAAATGAAAATAAGTAAAGGTTTTGCCACCAAAGTAAAGATTTGAGCAATTCAATATCAAGAAGGTCCCTAGTTGAGTAAAAAAATAGGCATTTGTTTGAAGAGGCTGAAGTGAGCGCGGGAGTTCATACTGAACCACACCCGTCTTGGAAAAGGCGGACTGAGATCACCGCTCCATAAACCCATGAATTTGAACACCTGAACTGAAGCCGAAGACGGTAACGAGTTCCAGACAGGAGGCTTCACCAGTAGAATGGGAAATGAGATAACACATAAGCCCAGAGAGCGCAAACTTAATGTTGACGTCATCTTGACTTCGTAAAAAATAAAATGCTCTCTTCATTTATTGATCCGTAATATTAGTTCAGGTCAAGTCGCGTATAAGACGCGCAAGGCACAATAACCAACCTAGTTATAGGCAAACAAGATTTGATATATCTATGTGCATGCGACTATTATCGATAATATAATCATGTTCGCTTTATCAATGGATGTAGCAAGTAGCAGCAGCGTAGACATCGCTTTGATTCTCAGTGCAGCGGATCAACCTGAATATTGAGTGATCAAGAAGTTCAAGAACATTGAGAAAAACTTACAAACTTATTTGAAAAGTAGGCCGGCAACTCCAGTTCATACTTCAAACAATAAATAAGAGAGAGTAAATGTTAATAATAAAAACAAAGAATAGATCTTATTTTCACATAAAAACCTATGCTTACTGAAAATGCTTGATGAAATTAGAGACTTCGAGACAAGCATAATCGATCAATCGATATTGAGAAGAACATCAGCAGTCGACCGAGCCAGGCAGTGAATTTTTAAAGAGTGGCGTAAGGCTCGCCATCGTGGGAGGTGTGCGGGATGACGAAGAGGGCTTGGATTAGGTATGAAACCTATGAGGCTGTGAGAGCGCCGAATGACGTATATCGTGATGCATGAGGCACATTTATAACTCTTGTAATTACAATACGTAAGATTGCGCGGTCTGACATCTGTGTAAGAATTGAATCGGCAATAGCACAGCGTGATTACTTGGTCTCGCAGATGTGTGAGACTTCAACAGTACACAAAAATATTAATACTGTTGCATGCAAATTGAAGTTGAATTTGAGATTTGTTATCATTACCAGAAGCGATATCCGTACCTGGACGTTTTCAGTACTGAAGAAGTTGGTTGCACAATACAAAGAAATAAAATCCAAATGAAATTAAATTTTCAATCAATAAATTGACTATGATTTTGTCACGTACTGATTCCAAAAGGACTACAGTCTTTTAAAATCAAGAGACTCCGGCTTGTATATTTCACTAGCAATAAGCTTTCCGTGTTCTTTTAGTTACAACTCGAACTCAACAGATCAATTTGGAGAGATCTCAAGGCCATGGCTGTAGTACATGCAAATAGTTGATCTGCTCGCCACTTGTCGGACTGACCATCCTGTTTCGAATGCAGTGTCGTTGATCACACTGCCAAGTGTTCAACGTCACTGCCAAGTCACCTCCCGGCAAAGTGGGATGACTGAGCATATTTTTATATTGACGTACTAAACACGTAGGCGGAAATTCGCGATACTTCTACAACTACGCATCCCAATCGTTACCCAACACAGTGAAAAATCATTGGCTGAGCGAGGAAGTACAGAATAGTAGCACTACAGAACCGGATGTCCATGGTAGATTGTGCTATTGATCGATAAATTATATTCAATATCATATGCATGTCAATGAAGCGAGAAGTGGTTGAAAGCAAAAACTCATAAATAACAACAACGGCAGCATTTAACTAATAAAACTTATAAATAACAACAACGAATGAACCGAACTGAAGAAAATCTTCCAGGTTCATTAATGGGCCTGCAGCCCGTGAACGTTTTGATACTATACACATTACATGAGACGTGGACCGCCATAGACTTAACTCGCGTCATGGTGTCAAGTTCTTTGATCGAAAACAGGCTTGATAATTGGTCGGTTGTAGCAGCTGCCAATTGCTCAGACGCGTGTGTGACCATAAGAGCACATTAGATACCGCGACACGATGAACATCACATACACGAGGGCGGGCGGCTGAACAACCTGAACATCACCGCCCCAAATAGCGCACTGCAGGTGAACACTTGTGCTCATACTCGTACTGGCCGCAACTGCATATCAGAGCTCTGCCGTCCAGGGGACATACACCTAAATTTACGACATATATAATACAACGAAAGGCCGCGGCTCGATCCTCACCCAACGGACAATTTACCAGGTGCCCGTGTGAACAAGATAGACTAAAATTTTTTATGAATTAAACACAATCGTGAAATAGTTCAGAAAACAAATGATAGATCTTGTAACTGAACTCAAGTTTAAAAAGTTCCAGTGACACGTTCTAGCTTTGTCGAGCATCAACGGACCCAATTCATCAATCCAATAGCAGGATAAAACAACAGAAGCATGAACATCCTTCATTTTAATTGCGAATTGTTAATATGAAGGCTCGGTCAGATCAAAATATTTCTCGACTCTTTGCTTGCTTCAGAAATGTATTTACTAAGTTACACATAAACTACTTCAGGGGGAAAGCTTGGTTTTAATAGCGATTTTAATGTATTACTCGAAATGTAGGGTAATAAATCTAACGACGCAAGTCTCCGTTATCTCATTGATATTGAACTAAAGACGTTCTCGATGGAATAGAATAAACCACATTAGGCTTGACTTAAATGGATGTCAAGTGCATAGTTATTCTAAGTGTCCGTAAATGTGCATCAACAAGCGAATAACTCGACAGTAGCACAGTAAGTACACGAATAACATAAGTATGAGATTGCAGAATTTTTTCCTACGAAGAAAATTATTCAAATGATGCATTATCCGGTCAATACTCTCACATTAATAATAAAATATCTCAGGAGCCACTTATATTAAAAAGGCTAGACATCTAGTTATTATTAAGACGGCAAGCAATTAGCCAAGCCCGGGGGCAGAACGCATTTTTGTAACAGGATGGCAGCTTGGGTTCGTAGGAGCAACGGTTGGCAAGTCAAGGTCGACTCGCAACCATCACGAGCAATCCTTGAAGATGGACGGCAAAGACGCTATCAACAAATACCGCAAGCAACCTTCGGCGACTAAATAGTTGTTAATCAAACGAGAAAACGCTAGAGGCCTGTAGTAAAACATGGCCAGTTGAAGGAAAATGAAAAATAGTAAAAAAATCATCCGCACAAGCAAAAAACTCGTATAGGCGCAGTATATGACAAACGAGTGTGGAACAGAAAAAAAATAACTGGGAACAAAAGGAGACTTGGATTAAAGTGGTTCACGTTAAACTGACGCACATAACTACGGAAACAATTGAAGTAATCATGGAATGGAGAAAATCAAATTCCGAGTTAATCTCCTTTCGCACATTGATGACAAGATCCAAAAAGAATGATCAAAGTAAAAATTACTAAAAAAAAAAACTAAATTCCGAGCAGCGTGTCTGTTGACTTACATTCGCAAATGATTAAATTCAGCGAGACGGTTATATCCGAAAACGCTCAAGTTCAGTAATCACGAAGACTGGATTCAGATGGTCACTCTCAGTCAAACGAGCTGAGATATTCTTCAGATAAATTATGTTTTTTTGAACAACAAATAACAGAATATGAACTGGATTAAGAGGCTCAGTCGATCGATGATACTCACTTGGAGTTAAGCTCGCGCAGTTTGGTCTCGATCTTCTTGGCGACGCGAGGATTGGATGATTGAAGGATCGAGTCTGCTTGCTCATTCATCTGGATGACGGACGCCTGGAAAGCAGCAAACAAAATTATTTATAAAATGCCTCAATTTGTGAGGATAAGCACACAAATCGTAACAAGTTTGAAGCAATAATAATCACTAATGACAACGATACAGAAATAACAAACCGAGTGAATTGGAATAAGTTATAGCCACAACAAAATTCATCTGTGAAACATCCCAGGCAACCAGCACAGACGCACACGATGAGCTCAAGAAGTCGTCAAAATATATAAACGTAACCATCACTTGCAGTTAGGAGCATCTCGAGTCTCTGGTGATTCTGACTTTCTGGCAACGTACGACGCATGAAGGACACGAGGATTTGTTCATCCTCAGTCCCTAATTACTGCATTAAATCAGCCCTGAGATGACAACCCGGAAACTTGATCAGACCAGATCCAAGAGCCGCACACAGACTACACTTGCAAAACTACACTTGCGGCAATGTTATATTAATTCAACATACAAGTAAAAAATTATTTTATGTGCTACTAAATAAATTCATAGCCTAAAATATCTCGCTTTATTTCTAAAATGAAATGGAATTTTTAGGCACAAAAAAAACTATTTCCTTCCATAAAATTAGTCTGAAGCGCTGAAGCCTTCTTGCAAAGCCGGCAACTCGTGAAAAAAACGATCACATACCTCAGCGTCGCCTACTGCGTTTTTTCCCAACTGGCGAACTCGACGCGTTAACAGCCCAGGGCATGATGGCTTGATTGCACCGCAGGAGGTGTAATGATTGAATATACGAACGATAGGAAGTTTTCTAGTGCAAAGCACAGGTTATCTTGAAAGAAATTATAAATTAATAAGATGATAGATAAATGAACGATAGTTTTCTAAGATAGAATATTAGTCAGATAGATTAACGCTGACAGCTTAAGAAACGAGCAGAAATGGAAGAAATGAATTGTAATTGATGTTTAATTATTCCTCGCTAATTCCTTATTCAAAGTCTATGACATTTTTTTAATTAAGTTCTTGCCAGCAAGAGATTTTCGATCGCGTAGGCTATAATTGCGTTAGGAATTAAAAGTAGACATGTACAATATAAAATAAAACGATAACTGTTAATGAACAGGAGCTTTAAGCAAAACTGGCAGCCCCCGAACAGGATCGCAGCTGCAACCAGCGCCACCACGTAATTAACGTTTTCCTAGCCTCCGCCAGTGACGTTACTTGTCGGCCGCGGAGACTACGGTACATGCGGATGCATGGCCCACCAGGGCTGAGCTTCACCGCTGTTTGAAATTAATTAGTTACCAGCAGTACAAATCTGGTAGTCGAAATTCACAAATTTATTCAAGCGCTGAATACCGAAATAATTAATGTAAATTGCTGAGGGCGAAAATAAATAACTGAAAATTTATGTTAATCCTCAATTTAGGACTAGAAGCTAGAAATGATAATTTTGTAGGAAAGACCAATTGGAATAAATAAATTACTAACACAATAGTCGTCAGTCGCCACAGTAAAAAAATACAATTAATATTGAGAATTTGCATAGCTAAACTGAATTGCAAATAAGGCAAACCCCGATATTGCCTTGCTGATATTTTAGTCATTGAAAAGTAAAAATATAAATAAAGGAGTGTGTGTGTAAGGGAGAGCAGCACAGCTTGCAAACAAGCAGCGGGGGCGGTCATAACTCTCAATTGCGTCTCCCACACACACACATGCCTAAACGCATTACAACTGAAGATCACAAATACAAGCAGCAAAGCTTTGTCGTCATCGTGACCTTGTCTTCAGTTTAGAAATTGCGAGTTGGAATTTCTTTTTTACTTAATATTCTAATATTTCACAGTAACATTTGAGCAACGACAACGTTTATGTCACTGCACCGTTTCTCGGACAATTGCATAAGCGAATTTATATATTTCTGTTCATACCAGGGAAGTAAGTTCATTTATTCGTAGAAAGGAAAATTACTTTAATGTGAACTATGGCTAATATAATTCAACGCTTATGAAGGAATAGTTAGGATTATACTTGCTTCATAAAACAAACTATTCAGTAATCTTCAAACCTAAGATTTTTCGGCCATATATAATCTTATCCATATATGATCTAATCTAGGAATTGCGTATGCGTTGGGCACGCGTATATTGGATGTGTAAAATATAAATGTTACGGCAGGAAAAATGAAAATGTCAAATATTTTTGAGTAATCAAATTAATTGGCAAAAGCTTTCTGAATACGTAGGCGTACTGTACAAAGCCCAGGGCTTGTAAGCGTTGGAGGTCCACGAGTTTGCAGTTTAGATTGGCGCTAAATAGAAATGGGAGGTGCGGCCTCGCCTACGATTTATGAAGATAATTTGCATCACATTCGACACTTAATTGCAGTTGAGCTGACTAGTTCAAGAACTTAAACTCTAGTCACATTCTTCGCCTTAAATGAGCCAAGAAATTCATCTTATCGAAAGAACCGCTAACAAACAGCCGTTGTCACTGAAGACAGATAATAGATGTGAAGAACATTTAAAAAACTATTGATGACCGAGAAATGTAGGTCAAATGAAATCGCTTCCATTAGGAATGACGTAAGTAAGTCTGCACACATTCAGCTACTTGGTAGCAAATAAATAAAGGACACTGAAAACTTCATTCAGCGTTTCGTGATGCGAACGCAAGTTTCACAAAACCCAGCGACGGAAAAATTTCTATTTAATAATAACCCTAGCTAGAGCAACACAAATGTCAGCAAAAATGAAGTAAAATCTTAGCAAGATGATTGTCATTCAATCGGATAATTCATGCCAAAAAATTCATGTCAAATGAGAAATCACAGTCATGGTAATCTTCGTCATAAATAAGGTACCGGTAGCGATCGGCACTGCATGATACAAGATCACTGATACATGCGGTAAGCTCATGAACAATAACATAGGACGATGAAAAATCGTTCATATTTTCGCACATTAACGAGCACAATCAGACAATTGTTACAATTGGTACAACATGACCGAAGAGGATCAAGATCGTTCGCTCCCAAGCATGTCGATCACCTTGACCGTGGCCCGCGTGAGAGTCTCCTCCCACCGTCCACGTGTATCGATTGAACGGCCGATGACTGCATGCTTGCATTCCTTTACTGTTGCAGAGAAACTTTGTCTCGAAGAACTCAACAACAACAAAAAGTTGTGTACAGTTACAGCACGTGCATCGTTAGCTCGCAATACTTGATAGAATCAACAGCACTAATTAAGTTGCGTGCAGTTCCAGCAGTGCATCGTAAGCTTGCAATAAATCAGTGCCTGGAAGATTGCATTGTTTCATCGAGCGTAAAGACAGCAATGTTTTATACCATGTCTTAAGACATCAAGACTTTTTGGTACAAACTACTAGAAGCGAAAAGTTTTACATTCATTGGGCGTTAATTTGACTGAATGCTCATTAATCTCATGATTTGTTTATCTCAATATTTTTAATAGCGAAGTGCATAGCAAAAGTTGGCAATTAAAAACGTGTCTGCATACGACTTGAGACGGTTTAATGCTAACAGATTATGATGTACACTTATGGAAGAAACGCCTAGAATAAAACTAAATTTAAAAGTGAATATAAAATATAGATGCACTTTTATAAATTGAGTAAATTGAGCAAAATATAACAGGAAATGCGGATGTGCGAGCTGCAATGAATTTCTTTATTCAAAAGAATAGCGAAACGAGTACTCAGTAACCGCTCAACCAATTCAGCACGCTAGCTTCACTTTCACATAAGCTTATTGGTGGTGTATTCGATCATGCGGTGTATCCATCGAAGATAAATGAACTAGGGGAAATAGCAACACGCGGTGATTAACGTCAGAGATTTTAAGGTTACGACATCAGAATGCTCTTTGGAGCTTTAAATATTGATGCCAGAGAGCAATAAATTCAGCCGAAATTATACAAGAAATACTAGAGAGACTTATAAGCGCAGCATCGCAGCAAGAAAACAATACTGAATAGCAGAAGAGTTTAGCAACACATCTTGGTCATGAGCTGCATGCGATTGTTCTCATAGGAAATGTTGAAGCGTTAATCGTTTCGGCATCGACCAAAAATGTGCGAAATCGACCAGTGATTTCGTTAGGTTAGCAGCAGTCTTATGTTACAGCCTCCAGCTTTGAACAAGAGGATATTTCCGGAAGAATTTTTGCTCATAAGCCTAAGCTTGGAACGCTCAGCTAATAGATTATTAAAAAAAATAATGTGTTTCTTGATCTTGACAGGGCTTCGACAGGGGAAATTCGCCCCTTGTTGCTGAAACACACCGCCTCTTAGGTAGCAACTGAATGCCCTAACGTTTCTGTGTTGCGATGGTTGCCAGAAACCATGCGGCGTGACGAAAGTCTTCACAGTTGGTCACGGAGGTTTTATCGCATCTATAGTTTAGATCGTCCGGTGAAAGGTGACTCGATAGATTTTATTTCAAGGTTTCAAGTCAGACCTATTCGAGTTAACAAAAATAATGAAGCATCAACATCGGTGTGTGTCAAGCGTCAAAGTTTTGAATATATTTGAAAACTTCCGCCAAATGTAAGAAGTCATCTTTCTTGAACTGATAAGGCGCGTCTTGAACAGATACCTTCCATAGTCCATGAGTAGCTATAATATTTGAGCTCTAACGGATAAAGAATATTCGAAAAGAGATTATAGCCTAATTGAAAAAAGTAAGACATTAGTGATACATTCATTTAATCAATTGGTCCAAAATTTACACAAAATTTTTAAATTAAATTTTATTTTAAAGAAATCAAGAATTTTAATCAGTAAATGTTCCCAAAAAGAATTTCCGATCAGAAATCTACAACAGAAATACATCATCCGTCCCCGACTATCGAAGCCAGAGCTTGGCCAGCTGGTAAGGCGAGTAATTATTATTATATCGCCTCCTGAATATTCTTGTACATTTGCTATCACGAGGGCCGCCTCACGTGTCAGAATACTGGCGGCAGTCCAAGACCGTGAAGTTTACGATGTCAGAAATAAAGTAAGCAACACTAACGTTTGTTTCCTTATTCCAATATCTACATACAAGACAGAATCATGGTGCATCGTAAATATCGCATACGAGGAGCAGCGTACAGCTTATTGCTTTCTGTATGGAGGCACGATGCCTAAACATTTATGCTCGAGAAAACTGAGGTGTGAGGCCGAAGTTGTTTGGTGTCTGCATGGTGGTGATGGAGGTTGCGGTACACAAGGGCTGTCGACACAACCAACAAGCAGACACAAGATCGTGAGAAAACAAATTCAACGGCAACCACGTAATTGTGTTGTATGTGATTGCAGCCAACATGACTGATTTGGCGATGTTGTATAACTGCAGCTCAAGTACAGGATAGTTCACAGCAGGAGTGCAAGCATCGGAACAACACAAAACAGAATGATACAATTAACGTACCAGATGGCCATACCGCAAAACAGGCTGAAGATTTAATGCAGGTGACAATGTTAAGTCAATTTTGGCAATAGCGACAGCGGACTTGTTTTAGCAGGCAGGCTAATTATAAATTCCCGGTTGAAGTTTTTTGGAAATGCGATCGCACACACGTAAAATAGTATAACAATGTGAGTGAGTAATTTCAGGATAGAAATAAGCTTTATACGACCGAAGTATCTGCATTTCGTACCTGTGGCATATAAATCTCAACTATCGTATTATTTTACCAACTATTTTATGGTTTATATACTTCACAATTTTATGGATAACAAATATCCTTCCAGAAACTAAACAATAGGGCTAGTCATAGCTTACCTTGCATAAATAGTTCTGACATACCAAGACAGACAAATGTATTCCCAGCCTAACAAAACCATAACAAAACTAATTTTTGTGCACAACATTACTCGTGCAGAAATAGTTCTTATCGTCAGCGCTATTCTTATCACAAAACCACGTAACGAGGGTTGCAGTCAGTAGACAAGGTTGAGATAAATGGATACTGCACGACCAGCATACGAATAGCAACGTACCTGATGCGACATGATGTCGGCGTGCAGTTGGCGTTGCTCTTTAATTTGTTCGTCGAGACGATCGCGGTTCAGAGAAGCAGGCTTGCCCGCAGTTCTGTGGAAAATATAAAGAAATTCGTTAAATTTTGTCAAGTCGAAAAGGGAGGATTATATGCCTTTAATTATTGTGCATTCGTATAACTGGTGTAACAAGATCAAACGGTTCAAAATTCCCCGTCTTTTTCGACGGCAGTAAGGAAAAAAATTTCGAAAATTACATATTAAAGATTTTCAAATTGAAATCTTTAACTGCAGACTAAGGACACTTAATATCATAAAATAAAGTTGACACAGTTCCTCGTGACCTGTGAATAAATAGAAGGCAGCTGACAAGTTAAGCTTGAGCGCGCCAGTAACGGCTGTGCGCTGTGCGCCAGCCAGTGCAGTATCAGGAGGCTGGCAGGGAGACCCATTCTTAACGCTCAAATGCACAGGAATTTTTTCGCCGCGAAGATGTCAGTAATTAATGAGTCTACGAAGCACTACGCACTCGGGCACACGGCTAATTTACATGCAGGCTATCAACATTGATGTCAGGAAATGACAGAGAATACTAATCTTGAACGAATTGGTTTGTGTTGAACATAAAGAATGCAGTCAAGGAAGTGCAGTTTTAATTAAGGATGTCATCAGCGCGTATCAAGGATTTGATACGCTTGTATCTCATTGCAAACTCCACTTGTTGCAATATGATACGCTTGTATCATATCGCAAATTTTTAAGTTATGCTCGTAGAAATTCAAATTTAAGGTTTAGATATAGTAACGGTTTAAAATATTTACAAATCCCACATATACGAGATATAGGAGAGTCTCACAAATGAATGTTTGAACTGTACAGATAGTCAATTCCTGGAGCTTGTTATATCCATTCTCGGACATGAAAGGTTTCAGCCAAGCCCCACCACGCGTTATCATCAGACGCTCAGAAAATAATTCGCACTCGATTCAAGACCTACAACACATCATATTACCGACAAACTCATAAGAAAAAAACTCATAACAAAAAAACTCATAACAAAAAACTCATAACATAAAAAAACTAATAACAGCAAAAATTGTGGCAATTTTCTGTTATTGAATTAATTCTGATTTTGTCGCTTCATACTCTAAGCCGTTGCATCAACAACTGCTAAAGAGTCCAGGGAGCTGTAGCGCGCGTAAATCAATCGAAAAAATAACCGCACCGCATATCTCAAGTGAGCACAACCGGCACGAGTTCAAACCACACACCCGCCAATGACATCACAACGAGTACGTCACCACAGTGACATCACAACGAGTACGTCACCACAGTGACATCACAACGAGTACGTCACCACAGTGACATCACAACGAGTACGTCACCACAATGACATCACAACGAGTACGTCACCACAATGACATCACAGACCAGAGCCTGAAGAGCACAGTTTTCAACGCACACAAGATGACGTCAGAAGGTGTCGAGTGCCAAGTCAGTGACGTCACTACAAGTGGCAGCGCTCACGTCAACGAAGAACGTGAGGCTCGGATGCACTTCATCACGCGTTAAGTACAACTTACTTCGGGATCAACGAGCCTTGCATCACGAGTCTTGGAGAAAAACATCGCAAGCATCATGCCAGCTCAGTCATATCACCAATGATGCCAGCTCAGTCATATCACCAATGCCAGCTCAGTCATATCACCAATGATGCTATTCGGATCGGACATGACCCTAATCATAAATCGGACATATACCCTATGAATTTTAGGAAGTACATCCCGACTTTCATTGCCAATTACGTCCAGTCGCGTTCAGTGTACATGCCATGAATAGAACTGATGGGGGGAAACGAGCAGGATTGTTGGCGTGTCATTTGTTCGACAAGAGCCAGCCGAGGCCACCAATAAAAGAGAAACTGAGGGCGAAGGTCGACCAGCGAACTCTTTATCATCAGACAAATGCAAGGAATGCCGCTGAGTCGTCAGTGAACAAATATCCTCAGATACACATCGATATTGCCTAACATTTTGCGAGATGAGTTAGACGACGGCGAAGGTAGATGCTACAGGGAAATTCAGAATGATATTGACAGAGAATATTAAATGGCAAGAGGTATAGGAATTTTAAAATTGCTCATTAAGAGCAAATAGCAGTACAAATTAGAGTGTAACTCAATGCAACGGAACTAAAAAGCTATCAAGTGCTTCTTTTTTTTAGAAAAATTTTCATTGATGAAAATTTTTATATTTAAAATCGAAATTAATCGAATTCTCTTTTATTCCTCGTCTCATTAAACGGGACTGAGCGAAGTAATTCAGTACCAGTAACAAGAAAGTATCACTTGTCCCTGAGTAATGGGGCTTGTAATTGGAAATGTGAAAACGGGGGATGCAGACGCGATCGCATTACCAGGGAAGAAGAGGAAGCGTCAGAGCAAAGCCCGCATTCAGCCGAGCACCGAAAAGGAAATGCAAGGTCAATTCAATTTAATAGCAAGTTTGCTACATCCGGATTTGTTCACCTGAGCACTCACGCGCACGTGTACTTCAGAAAGACAATACAGTGTCGGAATTAGTTAACGAAAAAGCAAATGGGGCGCATTCATTAACAGGATACAATTTAATTAAAAAAGGGTACTTTTGTTTTCCCTTTCTTCACATAAATTTGCCGGATGGCCTCAAATTTGCAGGATGGCCTCGACAACTATTTTGGCAGGGCCAGTTGTCAGCCGTATGAGCGGTTATAAGTTTATTACGAGCACGAGGGACGAGAAGGCAGGCTATAGAAGGCGAAATGCCGAGCCTAGAGCTTAAAGCTTTTAGCTTATGAAAAAGTCGAGCTTCGCCTAAATATTCAGCGAACATTGAAAAGATGACACGACGACCCTCGTAAATTATTAAAAATAAAGCGGTATAAAAAAATTTCGTAAGCTTTTCTTTCAATACGCTCAAGGTTTAACAGCAGTGAGAAATGACAATTATTGATTTAAACATAAACTTTTCACCTAACTCTTTCAGGCGATCCCACAATTAGTAAAAGATACAAGCAAGTAACACGTACAAATTCTCGCATTCCGGCGAAACTCTTGTCAGTTTTTGGCACCGCAAATTCGCCAGCGTCGTCCCAAAAAAGCGAAAAATCAGCCAGTAATCCGCAGCTAATGCGGCAAAATGAAGGTCTTGATGCCGCGACGTGTGATTATGGCCGACAACTCGCCTCCTCCAGGGGGTCATTATTGGGTGCTAGTGGGCGTCATGGGAGCATCATCGCTCGTCATCTTATGCACTTGTCAATAGAGCAGCGTCCGCCGAGCTGCAGTTGAACAAACTCATGATGCAGTTGAACAAAAACTCAAGATGCAGTTGAACAAACTCAACTCAAGAGGATTGGCTATTCAAAATAAGATAGTTAAGGAACTCGTCCTTAGTCCGCTTATATTATCAACATGTTCAAGAAAGGAAGGGAAGTGAATAAGTTCAAGAACAAATCGAGTGCTTGATCGACCCAATCATACTAAAACAAAACAATCACAGGTCTACGATGAATGAAAATACCATACGCCAGAGCATGATTTCATCATTTGATTCTCAGTGAAACAATGATTTTTGCAGAACAGAAAAACATAAAACAAACAAGTTGAAAATAAAATTTAATTTCCTTCAAAGGGAGATGCATTCACTCGTCATGATTATCTAGGCTGAGAATAGCTGCCGCCACTTGTTAACCACAAAGCCAGTGGCAAAAAAGTCGTTAATTTCCCGCAAGCTGTAAGTCATCGTTACGAGTCGTTATTTCTATTGCTCTGGCGCATGCATGAACAATGAAGTCTGGTTTTTAACTTATCTTCACTGAAGACCAAATAAAGTAGAGAATTTACTACCAATCAAGCAAAAGATCTCCGGCAAAACGGAGATTATATAATCAAGCGACATTTAGACATAGCAAATGCAAGTAACCTTGATTCGACATCTGAAAAGAATGACCAGCCCTGCAAGCAACTCACAACTCACTTATTATGGAGAGGAGCGCGCAGCAGAGCTCGACTCGCTTTTCTGAAGCTCGAGGCTCAGCAATGAGATGGTGAGGCAATACTCACGACTGCCTACGCAATATTTCTGCGTCTTGCACTTCCTGGGTTCGTCTCGTGTCCGTGCAACGCTTTACTGACTGCGAGCACGACTGTTCCAGCGACTTCATTTACACATGTCAACAATTCACTCAATCAAATTAACGTTCATACTCGAGACTCTTGAATTATTACTATAATATTTTTACAGCAACTATTCATATTGGTTGTCAAATTGAATGTGGGACTTGGTGCAAGATATAAATTTAAATGCCCAGATTTTAGCAGCGTAATTCGTTTTATTCCAGTTTAAAACATATCGTGTTGGCGTTACAGAAACGCTGCCATTTGTAGCTGCCAGTTTTAAAAACTTCTAATTTCTACTGAACTTGTACCGTACGTGATCACAGCTACATGCACTTGGAGTTGACCGGTGGAGCACAGAGCTATTACTGTGCGCTCTGTTAGCTCAAATATCGCGTTACCAGCGGTCACGTCAAACTGCTAAGCCACAATTCTCAGCCCGGAGAAATTCAATGTCATTCATAAGTTTAACGAATACACAGTTCGTCTTTTGAATGAACACTAGAGACTATCAGACACGTTTCATTATTTCATCCACTCCTCCGAAGCAGTGATTATTTAGTAACAAATTTTACATTATTCCAACATTAGTATAAATTGGCCAAAAATGTGGAACGTGGCTTACACCTGTCTCTTATACACATCTAGATGTGTATAAGAGACAGATGTAGATGGGAGAATGTTTTATTGGATAATGAAATTTTCCCTCGAGAGAAAATGTCTATATCTAGAGATAAATGTAGGCAGTGAGTGTAACAAATGATGAAGATGTGCGATGTTCAGACATACATTCAAACCTGAAGATTCACACCTACAAATGCAGTAGGCGATGCAAGAAACGTGTCTATAGCGAGGCTGTAGCGTGACGCAAGTAAGGCAGGCTGTGGTAGCAATGCTGCACCTCGAGCACTTCCATTAATTAGCTATTGTTTGAAGGCGACATCCGAGTGCATGAGCCGGTATGAACAACGAAGAGACTTCAAAAAAAGTACATGCAAAGAACTTGAGGCTCTCCAAAGTCAGGAAGTTAAAAATGCAGTAGTTAATGCATGTCGTCTTCCTTGTAAATTTTAAAACGAATTTTAAGTGGAAAACTTATTTAAAGGAGGTTCTTGTCACTCAAGAAGCATCAACTGCGATAAAAAAAAATACAATACGTAATAGAAATATGAAAATTAACATTACTATTTAAAATTTTCAACGCTTGTGTGTATGAGCGTCGGCCCCACTTCTACCAGCTCTTGTAATAGGGAAACCATTTTAAAATACCAGGCCAATGCTTGTTACCGGGCATAAGTGCAGGGGCCAATATATTTTGTCAAGTGGTTTTATAAGCCATAAGAATTACACTCCTAAAATTTGTTACTAAATGTCGTTAAATATGATAAGATGTGTAACTGATTACGGAAACCTTCAAAGTAATCAAGTACTAATTCTAACGCCAACGCCGGGCCACGCAGCCGGCACACTTTAAAGCCGATGACATGAGGGGCGGTCAAGTTACACTCAGCGACAGCTGTTGCTCTTCTTTGCCTTTCAATCATAACAAAGTAATTATGAATGAATCTTTAGAATAAAAATGTAGTTTTATAAGCAGTTTTTTCAGCGTTTGCAGGTTGTACTTAAGGTCACATGCTCGCGGTGAAAGAAACGCCAGCATTGCTGAATGTAATGGGATTTATCAGAGATAAGCCGTACAAGAGGCGCGCGTGGATTCTTTTTCAACATCAATTTTATTTTCGAAAGGAAGTTAACGTATTTATTGAATGCCGAATATTTCAGAGATAGCTTTGCATGTTCAGTGTGAAGAATTTGTTATGCAACTGTTTTTTTTTGTTTTGAATTAAAATTTTGTAGCATTCAATACAACAATGGGCAAATCATGTATTTTTACATTGCGTTTCCACATCGATCTGTCCATTATTGCATAAATAATTAGGAGAGTTGAATTTTGAATTTGATCCTGTGTAAAATTGGCACTTGTTGAGATTCGCATGAATGACACCGAAACTGATACCAAATAAAACCATGAAATGGGCCGAGTGAGCAGTAAAAGAATTTTGGATTTTTTCTTCGAATGGTGCGAAGTATTAAATAATGGTATAACTTTGTGAATGATCTCGATATATTAACAAATTCATTTACCACATTCAATCGCAATTTATTTTTCAGCTTTAAATTATTTAGTAATTTTTCTGCTAGGCAGATACAAATCTATTGCAATTCTAAAATCGTGAAAGGCAAGATCCTTCGAAGTCTTCACTCGAAACTCGCAAGCGATGATAAGAATTGCAGAGCTTGGCCACTAAGCACAAACGACGCAAGAGGCAGATTGGCACACCCACACTCGTCACTACGGTGTCTGGCACCAGACTGACGGGCCTCAGCCTCTCAGGCCCTCAGCCTGCCAGACGAGCCAAGCGGCTGGCGGGTGGCTGGGGCCATGCAACGCAGCCGCCGGCTTGCACTGCAGGCCAATTCCACTACATTTTTTTGGCACTTACCCGAAACTCGTGGTTTTAACTAGTTTAGTCATGCGAATTCTTTAAAAAATAATGGCAACAGCAAATACATCGTAACCGATTGTGATACTTTTTTTACCATGGAAATGTTAAACACGTGAGCAGCGTTGTTACGCTATTTATGATTTCTCAAGTGTTAATAATTACTGTCGTCAAAGGCAGGAAAAAATTAATAAAACACGATCGTGCAACATGACGCGGAGAATAATCAGTGAAAGAATGATGAAAATAAAATCTGGCACAAGTGTTACATTGATCTACTCACCTAAGCTGCATATCCATGTTGTTGAGCCACGACATGAGCGAGTCGAGCGCCTCCTGGACGCCCTGGCTCTGCACCAGCGCCGAGTCGAGGGACTGGCAGCGCTGGCCGATCTTCTCCGCGCACTCGCCGTACCGGTCGCAGAGCTCTTCGGCTGGACGCAAGATGGCGTCGCGCTGTGCCGCGTCCAGGTCGCTGTCCAGAGATCGGACGAGCTGGAGCGCGGTCTGCCGGCAGGTCTCGAAAAGACGGCTCTGTGAGACCACTTCGTTGTTTAGAGTCTTGGCCTTGTCCAGCTGATCCTGGATGCTCTTGGGATCGGCTCCGATGGGTTCTTGGATCAAGCGTTGGATCTTCACCTCGACTTCCTTCAGCCACTTCGAGGCTTTCTCGATGGCTTCGCTGTAGTCGCGCTGCTTGCTGCCGACTCCAGTGACCTATGAATGAAATTAATTTGTTCAAATGAATGCCTCTATGATTATCACGTATGGTGAGTGATGTTCCAATCAAGAAAGAAGGAAAACTCATACAGGAGTTTAAATGCATGAATATCTTCGTACGAAAGTCATAATTTTTAAAACAAGAACAAGACTCGGCAGAAGTAAAGATTAACCAAATTACAATAATCAAAACCAAGTTAAAAACCAAACTAAAAATGATTAGTGACTGATCTTTTATTTAAATTCGGCAGGTTTGTGTTCAACAACAACAAAAAAAAACCTAAAGAATTAAAATAACATTGGAGTGTATGGGAATTCAGTAATCGAAACCATATTCTAATCAATTTTAATAATGAAATGAAAGAGTCACCTTATCATTGAGACGGTTGGCCCTCGACAGCAGATCTTTGAATTCGATGGTAAGCGCCTCAACGTTGGCTTTGACGTTGGAGTCTGGGTCAGCGTGGAGAGTCGGGTATCGGTCGGGCAGAGAACTGCGGAAACTGTTCACGATGTTGATGAACTGATTGGACTCGTCTAAGAACTTCTCGGACGAAATCGTGATGAACCTGAGATCGGCTTGATGAGCGATGACGTCACCAAGGAAGTCCTGCAGTTCCTTGCCATAGTTCTTGATTTTGCTGACGTCTGCGCAAAGGCGCTCCTTCTCGGTCATGGTGCGCGACGCTTGCTTCATCCAGGAGATGAAGATCGAGGTCTCCTTGTCGTACTTGCTGAGCTCCTCGGCAGCATTAGTGAGACGTCGTTGCGTTGCGTCTGTCTGCTGGACGCAGCGTTCGTAGCGGTTCTTCAGTGACGTTGCTTCGCGGTCGAGCGCGTCCAGCTCGTCTCTGGACAGCGCGTCACCGCCAAGGCTCACGACCTGCCTGACGTTGTCCAGGCAGTTGCCGAGAGGACGGAACATGTCATCCAGCTCCTCCTTAATCGCCTGAAGTGCGAGGAAATTTTAATAGTCAGCCAGAAGTAGTCAATAGCCAAATGCACCCAAGCGGCTAAAATCATTAATCGATCGATCCAGACGGATCGAATCATACTCTTTTCAATTAAAGAAAGTAGGATTTTCCCACCACCACACAACTAGGAAACGAAATCCGACAGTATAATTATATGAAAATTGGGGACAACGGTAAAAATTTCGTAGATATAAGCCAAGGTAGAGAGAGATCTCACCTTGATCAGGTTGATCTGGTTGCGGAGGCCGTTGGCGTTCTCGCTGACAGGCTCCTGCTCTGCCAAGCGTCTCTCGATGTCATTCAGGTTCTCCATCATCAGAATGATAGTGTCGTTGCAGCTCTTGAATTTTTCAATCATTTGTTGCTGCAAAGGACGAATTAAATTCGTGTCAAGTTATGTTTCGTGATATTTTTCCAACAAGCAAACCCAGCAAGAAGATTGAATTAGCATGATAGATCACAGGAATCAACGAATACCTCATGGTTTGCAGGATGAGCGTCGCATTATTCATAAAAATTCTGATATCGGAACAATAATTCGTGAGTAAAATTCAATCAACTCCTAATGATATTGAACCATAGATCGGAAATGCCATAAAAACAGCAGGTTACAAGTCCAAAATATCAAAATTAACTACGCTCAAAGTGTTTTACGTTATTATCTACGTAAATAAATTTTTGGGAGTCTATAATCGCATACTTTATATGCCTTTTCATATACAAACTATAATAGATTATTCGATCGAATTCACATTTCAGTCTATCCAGATTAGAAGCGTCATTTTTCATGAATGGTATTATAAGACCGAAGCAAACTAATACTTGACGAATTCAAAACGTTTCTTTCTATGGTGAAATATTTTCAATATTCACAATGAACGAGTAGAGAGATTTTTGGCTCAACAATGAGCTTGCCATTTTAAGTAAGGTAAACCCACGTAAAACTCGTTAGCAGAAGAAAATTTTTTTTTAAATAAAAATTTACCACAACATTGCCAAAAAAATGACGACAAATAACAAGCATGTCACACAAAGGGGATTTTTATATGGGTGAATGATTTCAATAAAATGTAAGATGGAAATGTGGAATTCTGACTGAAAAAAAAACAAATATAATGTATAGATAAAAAACCCCAACAAAAATAAACTCATTCCGTCTGACTAACATTAAAAGTATTTGTAAATTCAGGAATAAATAATTTTAATAGTGATGACGCTGAGCATTCGGCGCGGTGCTTCATATGTATGTGGTCAAGCGAACCGAGTCAAGCAGCGTCGGTCAAAGCACAGCAAAACTGACAAGTGTGCAACTTGAAAACAAGTTTAAAACTTATAGCGAGAAAATGCAAATTAGGATCCATGCAAAATTTTAGAACTGCAACCAGAATTAAAGTTAACCTTCATATTATCTGCAGTTTTCACGAATATTGTTCCTTCAATAAGATAAAATTGCTGAAACTAAAAACATAGGACAAATGGCATGTAGTAAAATTATGAAACATGGAATGTAGTAGAAAAAATGGATTACAATGATTACAGTAAAAAGTGGTTCAGGTCACGTCGAGTTTTCGTCCACAAAAGTAAACAAACAACGTTGGGATTGGAGACATACACATGCAACATCTTGGTATGAAGCTTCTGTAACAAATGGGTTGTGATATAGGATGAAAAAGATTACAAAATGCATTGCTGTAAAAGAGGAATGTCATCAAAATGTTCAAACTTTAAACAGTCCAATAGGAGAGACATCACATGAATAAGGATGTATTCGCCCTGTAAACAAAAATTTTATGCAAAGTAACAGATTTAGGGATTATTAACTTTGGACGTTAGTCATACCACACACAAACATGTACCAAAAGAGATGGAAACACGCAAGAGAAGCGTTTCCAGTGCCTTAAATGTCTACTAAACTAAAAGAACTAAATAAACTCTAGAAATGGAAGCTAATTATGCTTTAGGGTCAGAGTTCCGAGGACGAGCAGCGTAAGTGTATATACAGAGGCAACGATGCCCTCACGGAGCCATCCAACAAAGCGGGAAAGGAGCAGCGCACGCATCACACTAGACGGTATCGAGCGCCATATTTTGGGGTACAGACGAGCAGTGAGAAGTGCAAACAAAACTCGGAGAAAACATTTACCCTAGCCTCGGCAGCGAGCAGGTACCCCAGATCTCTAGCGACAGGAAGGGGGAAGCGTTCCCCAGTAAGGAGATGTACCACAGCACCACGAGCTCCGTCGAGCAATCCTGACTCGAGAGCAGGTTTTATGTCCACCAAATTGCCCGTTTTAGGGCATTTCACGATTGTAGATTTGGGTTCAATGATGCCATCATCAATGGCTTCTTGAACATCCATTTTGTGGCCGGAATATGGATTAATCATTTTGCAGGAAGAGCTGTCAAACAAGTATGAGACGGCATCCAGGAGCGACACCGAGTGGTTTGGGGTGAGCAAAATATTCCCATAGGCTTCTCGCATTGGCAGTCGAATGTTATGATACGTGTTCAAAATTTTTCCGTCTTCGCTTACGAAGCCCAGATCAACTGCGGCTCCGATACTTAACAAACTTTTGCGGGCAGTGTCCTTGATACAAGCTGAAGTAGGATCGATGAATCCTTCCTTGCAGGCAGAAGCCAAACTCATGGATGAACCACACACTGTATCCCCAATGATTCCGGAGTCAAAATCCAAACATTTCTTTCTGATGATTGCTTCAATTTTGACAGGCTCTTTGACATAAATGTGCCTCCCATCATCGATGAAGGTAGCACAAATATTTTGATGCACCGTTTCGAGTTTCATTTTTATCAACGAAGATGGGCTAATGTAATCAGTCTCGATGGCATTATCAATTGTGATGTACAACACAGATGACAATTTGCGGACGACACATTTGGATGGATCAAGTCGTCTACTGATGATCGCTTCTTCTAATGTTAAAATATTCGATGGGGACTGAAGAGCAGAAGATGGAGCCTGAAGTTTCGCTGACTCATGAGAAGATGAAATCTCAGGACTATCACTCATGATGACAATACCAGAGCCAATGGCAGCGGAGAGAGTAACATATTCGTTGGTTTCGGGATTTTTTACCTCCGCGGTATTTCCATCAAGCACCCCCGTGTCAATGGCATTCAGCAGATTCAATCGCTTATGAGTACCAGCGTCAAAACACTGGACTTCAACTGAATTAGGATCTATGAAATTCAATGATGTGATTTCAGTAAGCGTCACCCATTGGCCAGTTTTGGGGTTCAGGAGCTTGCCTAATTTTTCATCATACAGATTATCGATAACTGATTTGAATGACATTGGAGGGTGGCAGTTAATCAAGTGGCCCCTGTCAAAACCTGTTTTCAAGTCCATCACTTCCGTATTGGAAAGCATCAACCTGCCTTCAATTGGATCTACGATTCCTTTGGCAAGAGCATCGGAGAAAGCCATCAGGCTATTTTGGATAGAGTCTTTAACCAGCGTCGTAGTCGTGTCTAAGAGACCGTCGTCAATAGCTTTCCGCATTGTCAGTGTTTCTCCACGGTTAACTTCGAATCGACGAGAGGACGGGTCATATATTCCTAGCTTCACAGACTCAAAAAGAGTGATTGTTCGCACTACGGTTTCCACTTGCAATGTGGTGGTGGATGTAATGTCAACTATGGTAGATGTTTTGTCATAGCTCGTCACAGGCCCAATACTCGAAATTTTGTCGGTTTTCGTATCAATAACCGAGATTTTTCTGACTTCACAATCTTTAGGCAATTCTTTTGTGTCCTTTCCGTCAGCAATTTTGTTTTGTATGGCTTTCCCTAATGCGACGCCAGCAAAGACAGGAAGGGCAATTGGAGCTGCGAGGGCGGCAAGGAAACCTTTCCCAATCGCTTGACCAATTTTCATCTTGGAGCCAGTTTTTGGGTCGACATACTCCGCGGTATCAGCATGGAGGATACCATCTTCAATCGCTTCTGCAATTGTGACTTCTTTCATCAATGCTGTATCAAAGAATCGGGTTTCTGGGTCAATTAAACCATCACTGATAGCGTCTTCCAGAGAAACGGCTTTTCCAGTCTCCGGGTGACATAAATCGCCGCTATCGGTAAGCAAAGATACCAAAGAGCCACAAGGTATTCGTTGCGACGTAATGTACTTCGGTTTCGGCGTCCCAAGTTTTAGAACACCAATGTCAATGGCTTCACGAATTGAGATTTCAGTGTTATTATTTAGTTTGAATGTAAGACGTTCTGGTATTATTTTGTTTTGATCCAGCGCTTCAATCAAGCCAATACTTTCCGGATGATCAGGAGTTCTCCAAAACAAAATAAGATCTTTTTCAATCGCTTCACGCAATGGAATAATTTCTCTGGTAACGGGATGAATGAAATGTTTAGCCCGACAATCAACGTAACCGCAATTGATGGCAACGGATAGCGTCAGTGCAAGCGGTGGCAACCAGTCGAGCTCACTTGAAGTCGGTTCAAGTATTCCATTATTGTAAGCATCAGTGAGCGGGTATTCATTACCTTTGCTACAAATAGTGTTCGCAGAGTCGTTAACAATGCCGCTTTTAATGGCGTTTTCGAGACAGAAATGAAGTCCTTGATTAGGAATAAGTGACCGAGGATTGAGTATATCCGACAGAATGGCTTCTTTAATACTGAGGAAATTTCCAGTTTCCGGATGAATTATCTTCTGTGTTTCAGGGTTGATCAAGCCTTGCAGTAGAAGCTCGTAAAGAGAGAGACTCTTGCCGATGGGCACCTGAATTGTCTTTAACTTACAGTCAAGCACATTATTTTCGACGGCAGCGAGTAGAGGGAGTTTCCTGCCCGAGGCTATATCATGTATCCCCAAAACCGTCGTCGCAGTAACTTTCGGATCAGATAGATCAATCGCAGCTTGGTTTAATGCTTCAAAAGTGTCAGCATCAATCACAGCATTATTTAAAGCCTCTTTTAAAGTTAGGGGGAAGCGGCTTATCTTGGTAATGTTTAAAGCTTCTTCACTGAAGACGGAGACACCTTGATCTACACAAAGAGTGGGGGAAGTTTCTCGGTCAGGACTCAACACGCCTCTAAATGCTTCAAAAGTGTCAGCATCAATCACAGCATTATTTAAAGCCTCTTTTAAAGTTAGGGGGAAACGGCTTATCTTGGTAATGTTTAAAGCTTCTTCACTGAAGACGGAGACACCTTGATCTCCACAAAGAGTGGGGGAAGTTTCTCGGTCAGGACTCGATACGCCTCTAAATGCATCATCAGCCTCAGCTCCAATTATGCCATCATGAGTCTTTTTCTCTTGAACGTCTACTGTCAGAGTTGGCTGCTTCTCGTCCGTCAGAGTTGGCTGCTTCTCGTCCGTCAGAG